GTAAAGGCCGCCATTTGTCAAAATGGCTGCCATGTGCTCCTTCCATATTTACATTTCTATCTTTATTAATATTTTATATATTTTTCAAATTTAAAACATTGGATAAAAAATGTTAAATGGCGGCCATTTTTCAAAATGGCGACCTTCTACCAAGTGTCAATAGACAATGTGCCATGCTTATGGATTCACATACCAAATATGAACAAAATCGCTCCACTACTTTTCAAGTAGCAAGAATCATAAAATAGCGTGTAAAGGCCGCCATTTGTCAAAATGACTGCCATGTGCTCCTTCGATATTTACATTTCTATCTTTATTAATATTCTATTTTTTTAAATTTAAAACATAGCTATTACAGTTTTAAATGTTGTATCTAAATTACTGTAAAATCGGCACTAAAATGGTCGCCATTTTAAATGAGCGGTCATTTTAAAATTTGCTTTCGTGCAGAAGTTCTACCCCAATAGGGTATATGTGTACAAAATATCAAAAAAGTCGGGCCAACGGTATTTGAGTTATTGCACTTTAGATGTACGGTGTCACTATTAACTGATTTGAAGCAAAACCCGACAGACGGACGGACGAAAAGGACGGAGGCGTTCCCTATATCAATCCGAACTTCGATGGGATAATAAAATTATTGCATTGTTTAATATTACATCTCATCAATTTCAATTACACTGACACCGTACAGTGCAATTGACAACATACATTTCAGATTTTTTTTAATAATTATACCCAATACATAATATTTATTAAATATTCGACCATCCTAAATTGCGTAGTTGAGAGAAACAAATTCTCATAAAAATAATCGACACTTTTAGGCGACACGGGAAAAAATTATCCAAGGAAATGTGAAAAAACAAACACTTTCCAACCAATACATTTTGTGGGTAGATTTACTACGAAAAAATCAAGCACTGCCCGAAAACCTTTCAACATAATCAGAAAGCTAAAAGTCTTTAGAAGCGAATACGCACGAAATTAAAAATAAAATCCTTCTGTTTTCCTCAGATTAAACTTTTTAAAAAGTATGTATCAAATCTACATCATAGTAGGTTTTGCTTCAAATCAGTTAATAGTGCCACCGTACATCTGAAGTGCACGACGGTATATTTTGTCACTATACGTTGTCAATGTTGTTGCGTAAATGTCAAAGCTAAATTAAGTCCGAACTTCCCTAAATAAAATTAAATGAAAAAATATATTTAAAAAATGGAGAGCCAAGGGGAGTCTGCTGTAGCAGGAATCCAACGTATACTAGGACCGGAGGTCCTAGGTTCTTAGGAATCCAAGTCCTACGGACTTATTTTCCAAGGGGACTTATACTCCTGTTACGCCGTCATTAATGATGTACAGAAATGCACAAAAATACTTAATAATAGCATTATTAATTTGTTCTATCATTGCAATAAACAGAGTTATTCAAAGCGATCGTAATCGGGTAATAAGCTCGTAGAAACTCACTTAGTTTTGGTATTTAACATGGCAATATACAATAGACATTATACCTACAGAAATATCACCAGGTCGAGACCTTAGATTTATGACAAAGTTATTGGCGATTTTTCTTTTCTTTATGAGCAGGAATGATATACGAGTCCCTGAGCCCCATACCCAAGATTATGCCAGTGTTCTCACAAGAATAATGAGGCCAAGCCATTGTCGTGATGCAATTCGTGAAAATTAAATCATGAAATAAAAATAAAATGAAATATTTATCATTTGGTCATTCAACACTTGAAAGCCCATGATTGCACGCAGGCAATTGATTCTCTCGGATCTTCCCACATCTTCACAGGAAGGACACCTACCAGCAAGATTAAATATATTACTGCGACATTCACCTGATCAACATTTAAGCTAACGTTTTGTTAAGATGTTAGACTAATTTCCCGATCTAATATGAGGCGACCCCCAGCGGCCTCTCATTTAAGAACTCTTAAAGACGTGATGGCAATGGATAATAGGATAATAGACTATAACAACGACAATCAGGGTAAGTATCTAAGAAGCTGACGTAAAGAACAAACTCGAACAAATTCTCATTGTCGTCACTTGACCAATTTATTTTCTCGCTTGATCTATTTTGACTTATTATTTACCTGAACATAAACATATGGAACATCATAATTATGATTTAACAGCTTTTCAGAGTTGGATCGAATGAGGGAGACAATGGAGCCCTAAAGGAGAGGAGAAGGAGAGAAAGGGGTGTCAAAAACGAGAACAATCTGACATGTACTCCACCTATCGCCAATAATTAAAACTACATTACTGCACAGATTATTACATTTGAAGGAAGGAGAAATGGGGAAGGGAGGTTCAGACAAATGGGGTAGATACCGGCAAGTTAAGAGGTATGGGTTAATCATACTTCTTATTGGACACATCTACTTGTACAGAAACTGATTGTGAGATCTTTTCAATCTACAGGTCCATATATCAACCTGAAGATGCAATCCCCAATGTACAATGAAAATGGCACATTCGTGCGAAAGCGAACGATTGTTTGTTATGTTGCAGAATTTAATAACGTCCAAATGTCACTGTGGTCCAATTTGGTTACGCTAGGGACCCTATTGTAACGACATGAGTAGATATGGGTGATCTTTTTGAAGATTTCGTTAAGATTATTTGTTGTCGTTTGGCATAATGTTGAAATGTGACTGCTATTTCTATTGATGTTACAAAACGAATATTGTCATGAAACTATAAATCATTGTGCATATTCAGAGTATAAAACGTGGCCTAACTGACTGTAGTGACTCGAGGAAGTAAATTATCTACTAAATCTACAAACGTAAGATCATTCCATCCTATTCTGTAAGGTTTCAGTTCTTTTAACCTCAGCAGTATACTTTGGATGACGGAGAAGGCCGAGTTTATACGCATGTTTGTTGTACGATGTGCCCCTCGTGTAGCAGATGATGATGCCAGTGCGTAATACTAAATACCAGCATGATTGAGTATGTGTGATATACAACTCCCTCGTGTGATTATTCCAACTTTTCATGATTTATCACCGTCCAATAATGAAAAAACATTTTTAGGAAAGCGAAAATTTCTCTCGGGAACGTTTTACCTTGATTGTAAAGATCATTTAAAAGTTCTACTTTTAGTGAACCTGGCCCTATACGCGTGTGTAATTAATTAAAGTGTAAATAACGTTTTTTCTGTTATTCTTTGGAGATCGCGATAAGATATAGCTACCCCAAACAACCATATTTTTCTCATCGACGACAGGTTTCTTATCCCAATGCTTTATTTTTCTATTTTGATTTAATTACTGAGATGTCAGTCTAAAAGTCAAAATGAAAAGTGCCTGGCCACCAGGCTGTGACGGGATGCTTATTTATAACTTCCTTATAATATGTGGAAATTGACGGCAAATCGTTTTCAGCATTTCAATCAACAGCTACAACAGACAGACGCACGAGGGGTGTATTAAAAGTAGGGTGACTGATACATGCTACTTTTGTCATCTCTCATTTAATATCCTTACGAGCCCTACACATTATAAATATAACAATAACTGTAATATCGATAATACGCCGGCTATGACCAGTTTCTCCTAATTTTTGGACACCCCTGGAACTTTTTACCGCAATCCAAGAAAGAACCTACTTGAATTAAGATGAATGATAAGAAAACATAACATTTTATTAGTAAATGTTTTGATTTCTCATGTTTAATGTTTCATGTAGGGACTGTTACGCCCAAATTGGTACTCGGGGTGGCATATACTAATCCACTTGTTGTTTCAAATGAAAGGAAATTAAACAAAATAAACTATAGGTTATAAATCTTACACCTGTGATCATGCCATTTATGTTACCTGAATGTGAGTTTTTCAAGTTTTTAGGTTTAAACATGGGCTTGCAATCTTTGCTCACAGAATCAACATTCTATCTGCGATCCATCATGATAAACCATGACATTTCATTTCAACTCAGTCTTGGTGAAACAGAAAGATGCTATGAATATCAGAATGTCTGTGATCTTATCAATTCAATTAAGATTTTCAAATCATCATTATTCATATACAACTTATCACTGACATTTCGCTCATTGCTTTTATACGGTGTATTGTAGAAATGAAATGAATGGATGGTATGGCCTTCTTTGCGTCTGGATGGACACAGAGACACTTACACAGACAACCAGACTATCTTGTTCACACCAATTGTTGGATAGTACCATTTAATATTGGTTTTGGTATATTTCACATACTATCTAAACATATGTGTCGCTGAAACCGAAATGTTTTATGTGTGAATGTTGATGCAATAAGTTAATATAAGATAAAATTATGTTAGATTTCACACTTTATATAAAGTTGCAGGAAAGAATTAAAAGTGGAACATTTTGGGTGTAATATTTTCAAAAAGCACTGTCAATGTTTACCGAGTGCAATCCATTTTAATATCTGAAATTATGAATATTTACTCTTACACCGGCTTTATTTTCTTGTCGATAGAAATTGAATTTCCCAATGATTAATTATGAGCAAATAAATTTTCTATTCTCCAATGTTTGTACAAAGATAAGTAAGCATCTCCTGCTGCTTTGACAAACGTTCTCCGTCCGTCCGTCCGTCTGGATCTGCCTTATTTCATAAATGCGTGGCACTAAATTGTCAACTCAACTAAATCTATTTAAATGACTTCAAATGGTTAAGCCAGTTTCGTAATTTTGTCTGCATGGAGGCCAATGATTATCTTTTAAGTGACAAATAAACAAATAAAAAAAGCAACAGAAACAATAAAAAAAAATGACAAAAAACAGCTTGTAATGGAATGAAAAACTATATATACATCAAAAAGAGAAACATTTTTATTGAAACATTTCTTATCTGTTCTGCCTTCTCTTATTGACGGTACTGTCCCATGAGTTTCAGGGTCAGTCTAACATATACAAAAGCATTCGTCAACGATACATAGAAAATTGTTGATCTTCACTAAAATGCACAAGTCTCAGAAAACATTTTCCCTTACCTTCATGCAAAAGCGTCATCACTACAAAAACCACATAGTGGAAAAAGTACTCCATTTTTAGAAACGTATGTGATATTTTATCTTAGTATCAATGAGGGTATAGTGTCTTTCGTTCCTTTCTTTTTACATCCTAATTAACCTTTTCTGCAACTGATTTGAAAATATGTTCCTCTCGTAACTGATGTGATTGTGAAACGATAACTCAAGAGAGTTGAGTCAGCTCGTTATGTTCCCCCCGGTGAGTTTCAATAACAGAATCAAGCTTCGCGTTTTCGATTGAGATAGCACCGTTTACTTCCTCCAAACATATGCAACTCAGACATCCCACATTCTACTCGGGGCACAGGAACAAGATGTTATTCACAGACTTGTTTTAGGGTTTCTTTCATTATTAGACGTCCTGGCCTCCCGACGCTTTGCGAGTTCATTTGCGGTCAATTCAACCAGATTTGGTTGTTCGAATAGTTTATTGTGCTTTAAGCTCAGATTCACTGGGGTGCCGTATTGTTCTGCTCTTCAGATGCTTCAATGTTACGTCTGTCGGTAAGCTCAGTAGAAGCATGTGTTCTGCTTTCTATTAAGTGAACGCCACAACCATATCATCTTTCCGAGCCTTTTACTTTCTATGCTAACAAGGATAATTAATTTTACTAATTCAGCAGCTATTATTTCATTTCTGTCATTTTTGATACAACAAATGGATTATCATCTTTTAATTAAAACATTAAAAGGTATTACTTGAGACGTTAGCTCAGAACATTCAAGTACGAATATGAAACAAGGATATCGCTTTTAAAGACATGGCTGTTCCATGTCAAACGTCATTTTGCCGTTGGAATGAAACGTTGTATTTAAAGTTCTTCTTTATTACACTGGATGTGATTTTTCTCGAGAATTGTTCGTATGTATGAGTTATAGTCCAATTGAACACAAATCAACTAACAACAAAGCCAACAAACACACGGACGGAACACGTCAATTCAATTATGTTATATTTTCTAAGCTAACCATGAAGACAAATGAACGTGACATAAGTTAATTAGAAACGTCGTTATGATCTGGAAAACCTGTTGAAAGGAGCAATGGAGTAATTAGCGCTCCCGTTCGTCGCACTTTTGCTCGTATTATAGATCCTGCCTAGATGTGAACTAGATCCATCTAGAGAAAGAACGACGGGCAAAGAAGTAATTAAGTATCAATCTGGCGAACATGGAATATTCCAAGATGAATTCGTTAATCATAATTTCAGTTTACGTTATCATCAATTGTGTTTACTCTATCATAGGTTTACGATATCTCATGATCAGTTTGTTGTTTGCTCACAATTATAATGCCTTTAAGTTCAAGATTGATTACTTGGTCATTTAATATAGGATATTTTAGTTCGTTTAGTCGACAAATACAGTTGTTTCTCCACAGAATTGATGCTATAATTAATATCAAGTGTTCGGGTAGGCTTAAGATGCTAGAGATTGCGATTAGGAATGCTCTAAACTGCAGTTGGTTAATTAGAAGAATAATTACTTCAGCAACAACGAAGTCTTACTTTATCTAAAAGTATAATGAGTTTTCATGCTAACCAAGTATTATGTTCTACTTCTGAAATGAAATGATTGTGATGGCATTCTGTTAGTAGGCGTTTTATGGACACAAATCAAATAATATATTCTTGAACATTTTACTATCTCTGGAATACCTGTGGCGCATTAACTTGACCAATATTGCGCATAAATGAGGGTGTAATTTGGTTACTACTTAAACTCAAGACAGAACTCAAGAGAGACTTATGGTTGCCCGGGTGATAAAAGTCCCATTTCTATTGGTTTATAATGTTTATATGTAAGTTTCCTTATTCGTTTTAGTTTATACTTATCAAGGGTCAGTTAGGGTCATGGAAGAGGACATTTGGTCTTTTATCTTTTTTAAACTTTTCATTTGTTTAATATATTATATGACCATAGGCTTTCAAGGCGAGACAATAAAAGATCTACATGAATGAATTGAATTGAATTTTGATTAAGAAATATTACAACATGACAACAGGGGATAATGATCCCTTTTGCTCGGTACGAGATGTCTTTGGTTGAGAATTAAGTAATAAGGAAATACGCTAAACCCCTGGGCAGGGAAACAATAACACTCCATGAGGACATTCTCCTACACCACACCTATTCCAACCAGGTTAACTGAGACAGTTTTTAAACTGCGATCATCTTATAGGAAATAAAACTATGGAGAGGTGCAGTTGTTAACATATTTTTCTTTTTGACTTAAGAAGATCACGATTCATTGTCAATTTAATATAGTGTTCTAGCTTAATTAGGTTAATGTCTGATATCACCCATTCTGATACTCAGACCATCTCTGCAATGGACTAGAAGGAAACTGAGAGAAGGCTGTGATATCTCATGATGGATATCACCATACAACTAGGTATACCATAGGAGATGTAGGTTTGAGAGTCCATAGTAAGATGAATGTCCATATGATAGTTATCAATTTTGGAATAGACTAAAGTGTTAAATCAATTTAATTAATGCTTCATAAAATAGAATCGTATTTTAGTGATTTAGTGTTGGGATAAGTGTCAATAAATTGAATGTCTTATTTCCAGGACTGGTAAAACATGAGATGTCATGGTTTATCATTATGTATTTCCATTGGTTTTCTATTTACAATTCCGTAATAGTTTATGCCAAATAAGGTCAATATAGACACGTTAGATGGAGACCATTTATTCGAGTATAATGCCATCAAATACATCACATAACGTGGCATCGAATATTGTACATTTATTCCATAGTAAAAAAACATTTTTTTGAATAAAGATAGATGGCAGAACACTTCTACATACATTTGCTTTGCAAGGCTTGTGTATGCCTTGAAAAGCGCATCTGCCATCTTTCAATTATTAAGTAAAGTTAGTATATCCTTGAAATGTGGATGAAAGCAATCGAAGTTGATGAACGTGTACGGGAGAAGATATAAAACAAATATGCAAGCGAGAGAAGGCACATTGGAAACTACCATTAATGGCATCGCTTCTCTCTTGGCACAGAAACAACAGACACATTGACAAGCAATATGCAGATGCAAACGTGTGCGAACGTTTGTGAGCAGATGCAAGCAGTGTGCGGACGTTTGTTGAAACAGCAGATGCAAGCATTGTGCGGACGATCACTACCATTCGTTTACGATTTCAAGGATGTTTGTATGTTTCATTCATCATAATCGTCCCATCGTAATCTACCTTAGGTGGATCATCAGGCAGTTTGTCTAAGATTTTATCATCCCAGTTGATAACTAGGGGAATTATTCGTTTCGATTTTTTTCGTTTCTTTTTCTCGAATACGTGAAGTCCTACTTCAGCTCTATGATCGGCAAACTTTGAATCAAATGGTAAATTAGGAAAGATGCAGAAACGCTTGTTTATATGTGTGTAATAAATGTGCCACATTGACCACATCGAATCACCAAAATATTCAAACCATTCAGTATGTTTTAATCCAGGTACCTTAGGTTCGAATCCAGCAATAGTCGAAACGTTTTTGTACCAGTGTTGAAAGGATTCCCAACTTTTTCTATGAGGGCTAAACCCCCAGGTTGTCGGGATTCTGTACATGTAGACTGGAGAGGTTAGGGGGACGTCAATAGCACAGCGGATTGGATTTGTAGGTTGATGCCTAGTGCAGTTATCGGGCTCTATTGCCAATGGATCTGGGTATACGGTGGATAAACCAAATCCACTGACATCCTCCCGATGGTCATACTGCTTGTGTGTCGCTTTTAACCACTTGTAAAAATAAGGCGACACGTCAACATCGTCTTCCAAAATAACAGCTATTTCTTTGCTTTTCTTCCGTGGTGTCCAAGTGTTTATCCATTGTTCACGTATTCCTACATGGGAGTCACGGAAGTGAATGTGTTTTATTGCGTGCTCGAATTTGAATCCTCGAGCTATTTGCACAACTTTGCCATCGTGTTTCTTTGACGCCAGACGGTCAATCCAAATGTCAACCAATACAACGTCACCGTAAAAATACGCTGCGTTGATGCGTTCCAAACAACGTAATAAGGATAACGGTCGTGATAGCGTTAGGACAATGATACGTAGGTCTGGATCAACTTTACTGGGAATGGAACTCTCTTCCAATATCCTTAAATACTTATGTAGTGAATTTTGGTTGTACCTATCCACGGCCATTTTTACATTTATTTCAAGTGAGTTAAATAATTTCCCAAGGTTTTGTAGAGCAGGATCCTCATTTGAGTTTGATGGCATTTCAGCTTCCACAATTGCGGGTTTCTGTCGTTTTGGCGGCTTTGGCTTTCTCTTAATGCCTTCCATTTCCATTAGATCGGGATTTGCCCTTTTTATCGGGTCAGTTTCTTTCAAAATGGCGTCGATGTCAGCTGCCGGTGCGTGAAATTTAGAGGTAGTAGTCTTAATTGTGCGATTATGTAATAATACCATATTTTGTCTAGGAAGGGACTGCTTCTTAATTCTTTGCTTTCGTTCGAAAGATTTTTGAAGTTTCTCGAAACGTCCATCCCATTCGACAAAGTCAGTGTCTAGTTTTCTTGGAGTCAAACTTAATATGATCAAATGAACGATGACTCCAAAAACAATAATACTAAGAAGTCTTTTCAGATTTATTTTCCTCTGTCGATTCATTATGAATTACTACTATTTATAGTACATGTAGTATTGCTATGAATATGTGCTAACTGAACATTATTTGAACTTCAAATGATATCAAACTTCGAAAGTCATTGAACAAAGCATAAATCTGAGTTAACCGCACTTTTGACCAATGGTTGACGGAGGTAGATTTTCAGTTCAGCTGGGCGTTGTCCACTCCTTTTTTAGTTTTGAAATCTGCAATAAAATTAAGGTCAGTAGATAACATGTCCGAGTAGTTAACGCGGCCTAATATTGAAATATGTTAATATGGAGGATATAACTATGACATTTTAACAACTTATTTATTCGAACAAAGTAAACTCTTAAATGCAGCTTTAGATTGGGTATATCATCCAATTTGTTGATTTACTGCAGTAAAAGATCAGTGATTTGTTTCATGTCCAAGAGATCAAATATTTTCTGAAATAGTGACCGATGGCGGCTGCACATCCTATTATAGATTTGTAATCATGAAAATGTACTTAAAACTTGACAAAGTAATTACAACTGTGTATGAATTTAAACAGACGCCGATCAAAACTTACACTGGCTAAAATAATATGGCAAGAATTCTTGGTGATGACATAATGAACAAGGCATGTACATACAAAATGTCACTACCTACCATTTGAAACAGACGCCAAACACCACCCACAAAATAGTTGGAGGCCCTATGGGTAACTTTTGAACAAGGCTTGAACACCTGACTTTATTAGAAATATGTGTGTATTGATTATTGGACATTTTGGGTTTCATTTTCTCGTTGGAATGATGACTTTTTGGTTTTTGCCACTGAGCCATACAAGCCTTGTCCGTATGTTGTAAATATGACTATCACGGTGTACAACCCAAACGCTCCTCCACTCACAGTGACTATGAAGCCTCCTAAACTAGCTTATATTCACAAATCATCGCGTAAAATCAAACAAAATATAATTTATAAATACATTTGCTCACTTGTTATTTTATTGCACGATTAGAACGCATATATATTAATCATTAGCATACAGTATATACACATTTTTTTACATGAATATATTCCAAAAACTCAGCCAAAATTATTTCCATTACTTGCACACAAAAAAAACATTTTTCAACGGTTTATAACACAAGCTTGATAACTTGTAGTGTTTGACAACTCAAAATCAACGTTGCATGACAAAACAGCATTTATATTTTTGAATTTTTTATAAAAGGATTAGGCTCAATCATTCAGTTATCAATATAATGTAATTATACAAATTAAGACATGTGATAAGTAATATATTATTTATAGTTATTTTCTACATGGTATTATATAATCAATTAAGTATAACACAATAATTATACTTGTAATAAATATCTATTAACAGAGTGCATGTATATAAGTACATTATATAATTATAAGATTGTAATACACTTTAAACCAAGAGGAATTCGGTACATTTAATTTATTTATATTACAGCAAATGTACATATCTACTTCAAGGTTCTAAAACTGAACTCCTATCCTGCAAGCAATTTTAACCCATGCATGAAAGAACAATACAAAAAATACTATGACTTTTTAATGAAAAATTAAAGTGATGAAGAAGGGATTTTTATTCAAACATGTTCCTCATCATCATGACTTCTCTCATAAAATCCCTGTATTTCTATACTCCTTCTAAAGGCCCTCAAAATCAGAAGAAATCAGAAAAATCAGAAAAAATCGAATTAGATTTAATTACATGTAATACAAATTTAAGTACTGTTTCTGTCTGTTCTTTATTATCTTCAGAGACAAGAAAACTGGTCAAATAAATATTCTTTCAAATTCTTGTAAGAGTGAATAACAATTATACTAGTTCAGTATATTAACAGTTTGCATTTTATTGTACAAGTACAGTGTAAATATCTAATCTTATATTCCACTTTTAAAAATTTATTAGATTTACCCATGTGGTTTCCCATAAACAAAAATGAATAGTTGAGAAAGTCAATAAAAACACTACTAGTACTCAGTTTATAACTGGCATAAAACTATTGTCATACTAAATTAAGTGTATGTCCCCCTTGGAAGCCCACAGTGTACCCATGGCCCCCTTGGGAGCCCACAGTGCACCCATGGGCCATGAGCCACTAGTAAGCTCAGTGTACCCATGGCTCTCTAGGAAGCCCATAGTGTACCCATGGATCTTTAAGAAGCCAATAGTATAGCATGGGTCTTTGGGAAGACCTGTGTGAACCCATGGCCCTCTAGAAAGCCCATAATGTACCCATGGCCCTCTAGAAAGCCCATAATGTACCCGTGGCTCTCTAGGAAGCCTATAGTGTCCTCATGGCTCTTTGAGAAGCCTATTGTGTCCTCATGGCTCTTTGGGAAGCCCATAGTGTTGCAAATACATTTCTATATACAAATCTTAATGCTTTACTTTTACTGCAAAAAATAATATGTTGTATGAAACTATTTATACACACTGGCTTCACTCATACAACTTGTGCTTTTACTATAAAAATTCAGATTATAAAATTACTGGCACTTTGAACTTTTGTTTAATCTACATTTAAAATATTCACATAAAGAGGAGTATTTGGAAATCTAAAAAATAGTAAAATGGTGGGAAATTCAAATCATTGACAAATAAAATGTTATTTTTTCCCATGCATCAACTTTTTCAAAAAATGTCTGACACAAATTTTCAGTTGAGATAAGTGTCATGTGTCCCAAGAGATAATATTTGAACGTTCAAAAAATATTTTCAATTTTTGCACAGGGATTTTTGCAAGTACAGTAGGTACTCTAATTTGTATTGTGCAAATATGGTACAGTTCATTTCATTCATAAATGTCATTTTATTAAAATTTCTACAGAATTATGCTTTTTGCTGACTGTTTGTTCAACATATTAAGATGAATTCCCATCCTATTCCCAGCCTTAAGCTTAGGGATGCAGGAAAAACACAAGATAATTAACTGGAATTGCATCTTCCTCTCATAATAATCAATGGTTATTGTGGATAATACACAGTGGGGTCATTTAAGCCCTACCAAAAATAACCTGCCAGTAGTACAGAACAAATGTCACATCCGTATCATGTAAGGAAATTGTTAAAAGTTTCAATAATGGTTTGGGTAACAACATTTATTTCTGTCATTAATAAAAGTTAATAAATATTGAATCTGAATCAGCCTCCAATTCAACCAGAAAACTACAGCAAACAAAATTTTTGACCAAGTTTGACCATGTTACAAAAAGTGGCTTCTTTATTCTTAACGAATGACATTTTTAGCAGATGTTGATGTTCAAATGACACCTTATCCTACATAACAGTTTTGACAGATATCAATGTTGGTGTGGTATCCTACTCCAGCGACATAACCTTTGAAAGTGCAACTCCAAAAACAACAAGGTGATCCAAAACAGAAATGCATGTAGTTGGAAGACCTTGTATAACGAAAATCGAAAATATGAAACCAGATATTCTCTTAAAATATCTTAATTTTCATATGGGAGAATACACTTTCCTGACCCAAATACAAAGCTTTCAGATGCTTATAATATTTTTAGAGAAAAATATTTCTGAGCAAACCTGCATAACCTTTCGGAACTTTTTTTCGAAACTACATTTACAGCACTGTTTAAATTTTACCAACAAATGTACATGAATTAAATTTCTGTAGATAAATGTTGTCCACCTATTCTAAATAGACCCCTGGTTGAAGTATAGATTTGAGTATTCACTGAGATTTTCAGACCAGGCCTGTATTAATGTAAATCCTATTGATGTGTCAGTCTTAGTGTCTCAGTCGATCCTACCGTCTCAGTTGATCCTAGTGTCTCAGTCAATCCTAGTGTCTCAGCTCTATATAATTCCTTCCATGTAACTTGTGTCAATGTTGGAAATGAGAACGCGAACAAATGCCATTTCCTTACGAGTGTTTTCAAATATAACCCTAGGGTCATCAGATTCGCATCTCAGACAATTGGGGGCCATCACCATGGCAAGGTTGTTAATGTCCATCTTGGTTACCAAGGCATTCTCCTCTGCAGCAAACACCTGGAGAGTAACCATGGCAATGAGTAATTCATATATCATATCAGGCATAAGCTGATAGGAGTTGTAATGGGTAGATCTTCCAGGATTAAGATGTCATATCATAATATTATTAAATTAACATTGCAACATCATCAAATGTAACTAAATTGCACAAATTGCTAATTCATAAAAATTTCTTGAAACAGGACCTAGTCTGGTAAGTACATATTTTATTTAGGAGTGATGCAATGATGAAAATAACTTACCTGGAGAAATCTTATCAGATAACTTATGACTAGTCGATTGATTTCTGGTAATTTATCAATGATTGCCAATGCACCTTCCTCATTTGCATAATTTGCGATACATTCTTCATAAAATTCAGATGGAATGAGAGGTTCGTAAAGTTCCCTGTACCATAGCTTGAGGAGTGAGGCTGGGATGTGGGGGTCGGGGCAGTCTGTGGGGTGAATCCACTGGTCACATCTCACCTTGAGGGCATTCACTTCATCTATGTCCCCTGGGACTCTACAAAACATGTGCCATGTGAGATTTAGATTCATTAACTTTATTACATACCCATATGTTATAGCTAAAATACGTCCCAGCCTGAGTGGGCAGATATATCATGTGGGCAGATATATCATATCTGCCCGCTACGTCATAATCACCATTCGTATATTGGTTCATTTTTGTAACATTCGCATAGGTATAGTGTAAGATCATTTTAATTGTCAAACTATTCTTCAGTATTGAAGGCTAAATAAATAAATAATTACTGTAAACAACACTGGAGAGAATCGCAGACAATTGCGATCTGTTTGATGGTTTAAAGTAGTGAAGGAGCATAATTATCCACGGTAATAATCAGAGATTTGACAAAATATATGTGGATGAATATCTGAAAACAGAATTCTAACAGAAATTTCAAAAAATATTTCTTTGTATCTATATTCGAATGAAAAATATTTAGAATCATCAAGTAACCTATTATCTATCCTATATACATTGTATCCCATTGTATTTAATAAACAATGTTTAAAATTAGATGCATTACTAATTACACATTTCATCATGTATTTTATCTCATCAAATGTACACCACCATTTACACCTTCATGCTGCATAGAGGAAATTGCAGTGAAATAGCGATTTATTCACAATTAATTCAATAATTCAAAAACATTCACAATGTCCCATTAATCACTCATTAAACTATTGTGACTATGGTATCTATGGAGATGTGCTTGCATCCTTCAATGAATTCCAGAATTATTCCATCAATTATACTTTATCAAGTTTATCTCATAAGTTAACATGTCAGGTCACACTCAGATGGGAGAGAAGCGCCTACTTTACGGTGATCTCAAGTTATGGCTGATTTCCTCCAGTGATTATTCACTTCCTTCAGATCATTTAAATCAAATCAATCAATTAAATAGAAAAATAGTCTTCAAGAGTATCCCACCCCCTATGTCACTATTTTGGTCATCTTGAGGCATACTCTTACTTTCCTGGTAAGAGAAGTTGATCAAAAGAGAAAAGGTCCAGGGTCTTATAAGCAAGACTAATAGAAAAAATACTGAAGCAAAAATAATTTTCTTGAGGCCTATATAAAGATACTGAACTCAAACATGCAAAGTTGTAAATTTGGAATGCTGCAGACTGCAAATATTATAATCTGGAATTCTGAAGTCACTTCTGTGTTGTTTCAGCAACAAATTTTGGAATCAAATCAACACAAAAATGCAGTCAGAACTCCATTTAATTTTACGCCAAATAAGGATTACAGACTGATGGTGTATGCACCAATGATACTAACCTAAATATGCCCTCAACTTGGGCTCCATTCAGTTTCAACACTTCCTCTGAGAGCATCACTTGTATCCATGGTAACTGTCTCTCAGGGTAGCGATCTTTCTGCATATGCATAATTTCGTCCAAGGTGCTGCCAAACATGGAGGGATGGAAGATGGATTTCTGGAACACACAAGACAAATATATCATTCACAAGAACATATTACATCAGTTGCAACTAACATAAAAATATTAATCACTAATCAGGCCCATAGCCAGGATTTGCCAAGGGGGAGGGGGTTCATTTTTGACTACTTTGGCCCAAAAAGATCAAAATCCCTTGAAATGTGCTTAGAATGGTGAAAAAACTGCATGATTTTGAAAGAATTTTTGGCCTGCTAATCTCGAAAAAATTATACCTCAAGAACTATTTGTTCAATTTGTATAATTGAATCTTCTCATTACTACTGATTAACATCTATACAGAAGATCAAATACTTTATTGCGTTTACTTCAATTACATATTTCAGGTTGTTTAATTCATACATGTATATAACTTGTAAAAATGTTATCATTGATAACATACAAATAAAAAAAACATGGCAAATAACTATTGAGTAATATTCTTATTCTTACACAAGTGTTTTTTTCTGCTTGATTAAACAAACTATTGTTGAGTGATCAGATACCTCACAGACATATGTTGCAGCCAATCAACTTATTCTTCATTTATAGATACAAAAAACTGAATCTAAATAATTATTCAAATGCTTTGACAATTTGCCAATGAATTGCATCATTTAATGTCCTACATACAAGTCAGTTGTATTGGCACCATGGCAACATTATTGTTGACTCTTATGTAAAACAAAACTAAACAAGGATGTGAAATCTAATAAAGATATCATTAATTACAGGTGGGTAAAAATGATGAATAAATAAATGGTTTCCCGACATCTTATTTTAATACTTCCTCCTCCAAATGTTATTAACAAATATAAACCAGGTTAAACACACATAATGAATGTTCACCTTAATATCCTTATATGGGCTTTTCATTGAAATGATAAAATAAAGAGAAAGCACTTCAGTTATTTTAAAATATACAGAATATCTTTTAATGCGTTTGTCCCGATTTCTAAAAGGTTACCTTTGTTTAATATAAACTTTATGCTTATGTTTTTCAGATACTTGGTGATTTTATTCTGAGATAATGTATTTACCTTGTGACATTTGGAATGAACTGAATATATAGAAAAGATATTAGAAAAGGCTGAAACATGTGATTTTGATATATAACATGTAAATCTAATAAAAACCACTATGACCTCATATTTATTTGTGATGCCTATTTATAATAATCAGAATGATTATTATTGTGTAATATCAATTAACAAGTTTTTACATCCATTTATCATAATATTTCATCTCTCATTGAATACTAGATCAATTAAGAAATATAGACCGAAGAGCAGGGCTACTAGTTTTGAATACACTCCGCAGGTCTTGGCACAAACGTTTTCTGTACCTTGAACGACCGAAGGGAGTGAGGGGTTCGAAAGCTTTTGTGCCTTGACCTAAGGGGAGTATTTGAAACTAGTAGCCCTGCTCTGAGGTCTATATTACGATTCGAACATGAAAACTCACCAGAATATTGCAAAATCATCAATTTCGATGTTCATTTCCACTTTTTCATTTCTACTTCCGGTTGAGTGTTTGGCTGTTCCAATTTGTTTACTTACCTCCTGACCTTGACTTTTTTATTAACATTTCGGCCTATTTTATTGGTTTCACGCATATCTACTACAGGGTGACCCAAAAAAAATGCAACCCTCCATTTCTTCAATATTTTTCTTAAATGGAGGTTAATTGCTCTGAAATTTGGCACACAAGGACTTCATTCAATGTGGGATCCTCTGGCAAAATAATCATAGTCTTATATTGATAGAGTTATGGTTGTTTCAAAATATGCTCCAAATGTCGTCTATTTCCAATGTTAGGTTTTCGGATGAATCACATTCCCTTCTTTCTGAACATGTAAACTCAAGAAATAATGTGTTCTGGGATCACAAATTCCAGATGAAGTGTTTCAAAGGCCCCTTCATTCTGTTAAATGCACAGCTTGGGCTGCCATTTTCCAAACATGAAATCATCGGTCCCTTTTGGCTTAAGGTTGATAATGGCAACACTGTTACTGTTAACACACAGCGCAATATTGGCGTTCCCAGGAAGTTCTAGGCAGTTCTAGAGTGACATAGAGGCTTCAATAGACAAAAACAGTGGTTCTAGAAGTATGGAGCTACTCCTCACACTTCTAATGATAGCATAGTCTGGCTCACTAGTCATTTCTATGAGAAGATTATCTCTCCTAGGACGGAGAACCCATGGTCATGCCACAGTCTTGATCTCAATGCCCTTGACTTCTATATATGGGGTTATTTAAAGGATAATTTGTCTGAAAATAACCCTACCGCAATTGCAGAACTTCAACAAGCAATGGCTGCAAAAATTTGAGCCATACCCATGGGAAAAATGCATCCGTGTTATGAACAGTTTTCCTTGAACATTGCAAGTTTGTTTTCAGCAAAATTGACGACATCTGGAGCATATTTTGAAACAACCATAACTCTATCAATATAAGACTTTGATTATTAAAACTTTGCCAGATGATCCCACATTGAATGAAGTCCTTGTATGCCAAATCTCAGAGCAATTTACCTTCATTTAAGAAAAATATTGAAGAAATGGAGGGTTGCATTTTTTTGGGTCACCCTGTACATTGATAATTATTGAAATTAATTCTATATTGCCCAGAAACAAAAAATCACAGCGGATATCCATATAAAAATTAAATTTTGCGAAAAGAACGGAACAGCCTGAACTGACCATACGAAACACTAGTACAGACATGACAGAGCTGGGGCATTGATCTTGAATAAAACCCAGCTGAAGCATTCATTGACTTTGTTCACAGTTCATAGAAGGCGTGAATACAGTCATGTTCGAATCTACAATAGAGCTGAATAATTCATTTAATAGATATGTACATGTATATATTTGCCTGAATAATAAAAAAGAGAGTACAATGCATGAATAATACCCTTTGCATTCGTTTGACTTCACTTCTTAAAATAGAGCTTCGTCTTCACTCTTTCAAACTAAAATAAACCTGTGAACACACCGCGCCAATCAGTGTTCGTGGGCCAAATTTGACCGACGTTCTTTATATGGTCATTCCTTCTGACGTCATCATTGAGCCCAGAATTGACCAATGACATGCGCATATTTAATTAGAGCGCATCTGGCGTATGTTTCTTCAAGCTCGCTGGTTGGTGGAAGGTCAGCGCGTAGGTCAAAAGTGATTTACCCAAACTGTCACCGGTACCCGTCGTGGAGGCGGGGCTACTAAACTGTGATATGGTCTCTACTAGGCAGAGTGTAGTTTAACTAGACTCTGCACGCAGGGTACATGAATAAAGACACATATTGCATAACTTTCTGCTGTAAGACAGCTCTCTTTGATATAAAACATTGAGAATATTCAGCAATGCAGAAATAGTCATTGAGAAATAGAGGGATCTCTACATTTTAATAATAGTCTGCAAGAGATATTGTGAAATTGTGAATCTCAGTCCATATAAGGAAACAGGAATTTATCATATAATCCAGGACTTCACTAAAATTTCACTTGGATAATTCCTGACTTGAAACAATTTCATTGATGGAACCCATCTATGTTCTGTTTAATTAATAGTTTTCATCATAAATATATGCATCTTAAAAGTTATCAATATGTTAACATATCTGATTATTAATCCAATCTGTTACAATGCACTTTCTGAGTATAATATGAGCTCAAGCAGCGAAAAATGATAAAATATGGAATGAATGTGGGGAACATACCATTTGTGCCATTTGGGTAAAATGATATTATATGGAATGAATTGGTGAATATATCAAATATAAGTCAAGTATATAATAATTTATCAAATTATTGTGCCATTTGGGAACTGTAATTTGAGTGCCCACACTAAATATCACCTTATCACCAAATCGGCACTGAAATCTGGTATTGTTATGATGGCAAATTATAAGTATAGATTACATGAGTAACAAGGCATGAACATGCCACCACCTGCCATTTGTAACAGACCCAACTGGCAAATGCCAAACACCAGTGGTGACATAACAATACTATAGTTTTATATTTTTATTGTCAGAAATCCACTGTCAGGTATCTTTTGAACAATGACTTATCTTAAAGCCCCATTTAATATATTTTGCATTGTAGTTCCATGTTATACAATGCATTACATGTCACCAGTTCTAATCGGAGAACCATTCAATTGAATTAATCATCCAATCATTCAAATATAAACTATTTATTATTTATTGCGTGAAGCATTTAATTACACACTTGATGTAGCAGACAAATAGTAATTCAAACATCAACTTGGTTTCTCACAAAATATTGCTAACTGGAGAAATTATCACATTAGTATCACACTTATTGTAAATTGGCAATCATAAATAAAAAAAAACATATAAAAATAAAAACTAGATATAATTTAGTATGTCAATGCTTTAACCGGAACTACTTTTAGAAATAATAAATATCAAGAATTGGGGCGGGACAATTCAAAAGGGTTATAAATTATAATAATTATGGCACTAATATAAATATACTCTTCGACTGGTGAATATTTCAATTGATACATTTACATTCAGGATTTAAAGAGCTTTTCTGAGAACAATAAGGTGAGAACTTTTTTCTTAGCAACTCGTGTAATATCTTAATATACAATATATATAAAAATATCAAATAAAATAAAAATGTCTGTTTTTGACTAGCAAGTATAAACAATTATGGAATAAAAAATAGGACATGAATTTTATTATTATATGATATTGATTATAAAAGCCAAAATGATACAGTAAATATAACTTATATGAAGGTACCCAAACATGCAAATCAAGGCGGTATTACAATCAGTCATTCTGGCCTGTATATTAGCTGAACTAGCAGCTGCTAGAAAAAGTAAGTGAAAACATTTGATCATTTGATAGTATGACAAGGAGTATAACTATATGTTTGAAAACAAATAAAAGACTTACTTGAATGAAAGACAATTAAGATAAGTGAGTGTGTGTGTGTGTGTGTGTGTGTGTGTGTATTGTTGGGGGGGGGGGTTGAAGGGGGGGGGGGGGTTGAAGGGGTCATGCAAAACCCATCAGTTTACCATCAGTTATAAATAAAAGTTCAGTAAGTAAAAGTTGATTTTTGGATTTGGGATTTTAGGATTATTTCAATACATTTAATTGTACACACAAATCATGAATGTTACGGATAATATTGGCATCTTCCTGGTAAACCCAATCTTTGGTGATGAACTGAGAGTTCCAAAATCAATTTGTTTCAGATAAGAAGAATAAAAATCCAAAGAAAAGTGTACAAACTAGGAACTTTGAAAAAAGGGATATTTCAACAAAACAAGGTTTGTTTGTTTTATATCATGTATTCATTATGTATAAAATAAAATGATGTTTTGAAACTAAAAATGATTATCATGATCGATGTATGCATGTAGCAAAATTCCAATACCAAATTTTGAAACCATTGTGACTTATGATTTTGTCGCAATCTTGTTTGTCTTAGAGGAGACAACGATTTCTAGAAATTTAAGTTACAATTGTACCAAAATGGACAGGAGAGTAATAACATTATTTGTGTGGATGCATTTTTTGTGTTTCCAGTTTGTGTGGATGTAGTGTTTGTAGTGCAAAACTCGCACAATGTAGAAACCATGCTGTTTGGAGCAGACCTTTACATCAAATATTTCAGTACAATGTTTGATAAGAGCTCTGGCATTTCTTTAGTCACATACAGTTCTGTGAGTACTAAATTGTTTTGTAATCTACATTTTGTTTGCACTTGAGTTTGGCTATGAAATCACCTTTATTTCTTTGATTTTGAGAAACATGTACTTTAAAAACCAAATGATGTCAATACTGTTATAATGAGAGTTCAAAACATTATTAGGCAAAAACATAAAAATAAGAACATAACCGATATTATTTCCACCTTGCCGGGCCAGTTCTAGGGGTTTTAGTGCTAGTTTAGAAGGCATTTATTTTACTATATCGACCTGAGAAATGTGTGACGTCATAGTGGTAGTCCATATGCACCGGTCTAGAATATATTCTGGACCGGTAAATTTTCCCCGGGAAATTAGATATCGTTCAGTGCGAGAGATTTTCTTCATATTTCAGCCCTGGTCGTTAACGGTGGTAATAATACTAATAACGTCATTTCTGCGAGCAATATAGTAAAATATTGGACCTTGGGCCTGCGGCCCTTGGTCCAATATTTCACTATATTGCCCTTAGAAATGACGTTATTGTACTATTAGACTTTGATCTAACGCACAACAGACCAATTCTTCAAGGCCCCATCATCATTATCCTTTTTACCACTCCTATTTCTAGGCAGCCCAACAAGTTCTACCACTTATGAGCAACTCTGAATTCAAGAAGGTCTACAGTGAGGCATACCTCAAAAGCCCTACACAAACAAATGAGGCAAATACAATTGATGCACTAGAATTTGTGAATCGCAATATCAAGGATTTGTTTCCTAAACCGTCAAAGTAAGTGAATAGAAAACATTATATAAAATAAGCATTATTCAAGTAAAGTGTTTCCAATTAATATGATATGTAAATCCTGATAAGTGTCTAGTGCTAGTGCCACGGTTTACGATTGACTTAGCAAGTTGAATGTGAGATTTTTCTGGCAAGTTACTCCTCTAATATCTTTTAACTGAGCAAGGTGTTAATTAACCTTTTACTATATGAACTCAGTTTGTCTTTGTTTTCAGTGGGAGGCTGATCATACTCTTCACTGAGGGTGTGACCATTACCAGCACGGTTAACAATGAGGATATCAATGAGAAGCTGAAAGCACAGATTACAAGCCTTCAAAGAAACAAAGTGAAAATTGCCCCAATAAACTACGACTTTGACTTTGATTCCGCTGAATTTGATTTGTACGAAAGTACTTCGATAAAACAAAGTACTGTCAAGAATGAATTTCATATGACGGAGGATTTCAGAGTAGAGTTCCAGGATTGTATAAATAATGAGTTTCATTGTTAGACATTAATGGTAAGATAAGTGTTAGTAAGCACCTCATTTGGGTTAACACAAGTTATAAATTCTCATTTCCTCATGTCTCATTTCAGACTGCCGTGTTGGGAAACAGATTCAAGTAGAGATAACTGTAAAAGATCAATGCAAATTCACATTCTATATTTATAATTAGTGCTCTAAAGTCCAGGGATCAAAAAGGCCAACACTTCCTTATTGAAAGAAGGGCGGGGTCACTTAAAGGTCAAAGTTATAAGGTAAAATGCTTCAGTCTACAGATATGAGGGGCCAGCTCTTTAGTAACAAGGGTATTCACTGTAACAGGTTTGTCGCTCATCTCTCAATGTGGAATAAAAGTACAAAGACTGTACTGGGCAGCAATTGAAAATGCATTGTACAAGACGTAAAAGTCATATTTACACACTGTAAAAAATATAAATATACTAATCATGTAAAAGTTATGCATTAATGGCAATTCAGTTTCAGTGATAAAATCTTATTGTTTATTATGCATAATATTATTCTTGTGATGCTTATAAGTGATGTGCCACGGCAAGATGTGACTCAATTACCATACTACAATATCATCAAATACAATGGTTTTATCTTGGAAAAGATCTTATTTTTTATTTTGAAAATGTATGTTATAATATCTAAGAAGGCTCTAGTAAACTGTCTGATAATCAAATTCACTGTAATTTCCATATTCGTGGTTTTAAACTGATATTCGTAGTATCTAGCAATAAATTTTGAATAAACGTTTCGTATAAATATTCAAAGATGTGTTATCTTGCAATTAAATGCAGGAAACATTGGAAACTAATTGAGGGAAAAGAAAAAAAATTAGAGTCATTGTGATCACAACTTTCTTACAAAATGAAAAACTTTGAAGGAAAATTATTCCAAATGATGCCATCACAGGTCCCTAAGTTTTATTCCATCTATATTTGTGTTATAATCTTTCAACTAATGGAAATGTAAAACAGATTTTTAGGAAAAAAAAATAAAATAAAAAATAGACAAATTGAAAGGGTATATTGTGGTACTCAATGATGAATTCATAACTTTCTAATCTATCTCAATAGAAACAATAAAATGGATAAGAATAAAGTATATTCATGTTGCAGAGAAACCCTTTCAAACATTTCCCTCATTGTCATAATTTTCAATAATTTATCCCAAAACTCACAATTTTTTTACTACCAGCAAATATAACAGGGGAAATATTATGTAAGGTCCCTTCAATCATTGAATACTGTTTGCATTACAATCAAAAAATGCAAAATGATTTTTATCTTTCTTGCAAAGGGAGCATATATAATGTTCATAATCTAAATAACACCTTTAGTATAGCGTCCAGTAAACAGGATTAGCATTATTTACTTTCACGAGGAAAAGAAGGTGAGCTAAGTTAAATTTCAACAAATTTAGAACATTCATTTCTATGAAGACATAATTTAAAAACAAATCTTAACATCAAAGAATACATATTTCAACAAATACACATAACTGTTTAATAATTATTGAGTATAAATGAAGGGTTACTATTGGTTAATCTATTAAAAAGATTGCTTGAAATGTTTTAATTCAGACCTTCTAATATATCTTCAAAAGGATGCATTTTCATTTAGGTGGCGATCATGTATATTAAGGTGCTATTACAACCAATCATATTGGCTTGTTTATTAGCTGGCCTAACAGCAGCATTATGTAAGTGGCATCATTTAACATTTTGAATAAAAACAATATCTCTTGAAAAAAATGGCTCAAGATGAAGGGAAATCATGGCTGATATAGAAGTTTTTTTTTGTTTTTTTTATATAGATATTTATTTCTCCTTTCTAGATAACATATTAACATAACATATTCTACATAGGAATTATCAAATGTATAGAGATTTTCTTGATAGTAGTCTTAAAACTTCAAGCTTAGAAAGTGAAATAATGTTATTCCTCAAAAACTACTGGAATTCCAGATAGTTAGAGTTCTCAAAATTTTCACAGTCTTAACTCAACCATTTTTGACAAGAATCATTTGCATCCCTTCATCTGGATCACTACTTGCAAAAAATATGTCCCTATTTAGTCCAATTAACATTTAAATCAATCAATAGTACTTGGCACAATTTGTTATATATGTTCACGTTCCTATTTCCATATTATTCCGTTCATATTCATCATTATGTAGTCATGGACATCACAACATTACATATAATCCTCTCCAATCTTATCAATGAAGCGCATATACCTCCCTTCACATGTTGCCATACTGAAGTTTGTTAGCGCTGCAACATCGCATGTCGTATCAGAATCTGTGATTGTTTCTTTGGTATCTTTATCAATTTTGCACTCAGTTGATTTGTTGTCCATCTGTTTCTTAATATTTACATTGCAGCCTCTATGTTTTCTGTCCATATTGTCTGTTTTAGTTGCGACATGTTTCATCTTTAGTTCTGTTGCACAATACTGGTGTCTCTTCACTTTATTATCCGTTTGTGTACTTGTGTTTACTTTGTTGATTCTGGCTGATATAGAAGTTGAAAGCGAGATATTGCATTACAAATCCACTATTAAATTCTTAAAATGTACATTAAGTAATAGCAAACTTAAAAAAAGAAACAGGACACATGTCACCTACTGGGGAAAATTTCAAAATCACAAAAACACGAAATATAATAGCGTCAAATATTAGTTGTAGTACTAGTATTACATCCCAGTTATGCCGGCCCAATCTCAGATTTGAATCTTTAATACTCTTTCATGATGGTTATTCTGATGATCTATTTTTAGCTAACAAAGGCAATATCAGGGTCAGAAGTTCAAGAAACCCTATGTCACCACCAGGTATGTAGCAACCTTTATAGATGGGCTTTATAGTTAAGTTGGGCTTTATAATATTACTGAGTTTTCTAGTACAGTTGTGTGTAAGTAATGAAGGGCTTTATAATATAGATGGGTTTTATAGTTCAGTTGGGAATTACAATATAATTGAGTGTACGAGAACAGCTGGGCTTTATAAGAGCATGTGGCTTTAGGCTTTATAGTACAGTTAGGTTTTATAGTTAAGTTGGGTATCATGGTACCCCTGAGTGTATGAGTACAGTTGGGCTTTATAATACATTTAGGCTTTATAAGAGCTAATTTAGTATTTATAGTACAGTTGGGCCTTATCATACAGTAGGGCTTTATAGTTTAGTTGGGCATTATGGTACAGCTGAGTGTATGAGTACAGTTGAGCTTTATAATATATTTAGGCTTTATAAGAGCTAATTTAGTCTTTATAGTACAGTTGGGCTTTATAGTTTAGTTGGGCATTATGGTACCCCTGAGTGTATGAGTACAGTTGGGCTTTATAATACATTTAGGCTTTATAAGAGCTAATCTAGTCTTCATAGTACAGTTGGGCTTTATCATACAGTAGGGCTTTATAGTTTAGTTGGGCATTATGGTACCCCTGAGTGTATGAGTACAGTTGACCTTTATAATACATTTAGGCTTTATAAGAGCTAATTTAGTCTTTATAGTACAGTTGGGCTTTATCATAGAGTAGGGCTTTATAGTTTAATTGGGCATTATGGTACAGCTGAGTGTATGAGTACAGTTGAGCTTTATAATATATTTAGGCTTTATAAGAGCTAATCTAGTCTTTATAGTACAGTTGGGCTTTATCATACAGTAGGGCTTTATAGTTTAATTGGGCATTATGGTACAGCTGAGTGTATGAGTACAGTTGGGCTTTATAATACATTTAGGCTTTATAAGAGATAATCTAGTCTTTATAGTACAGTTGGGCCTTATCATACAGTTGGGCTTTATAGTTTAGTTGGGCATTATGGTACACCTGAGTGTAGGAATACAGTTGTGCTTTATAATATATTTAGGCTTTATAAGAGCTAACTTAGTATTTATAGTACAGTTGGGCTTTATCATACAGTAGGGCTTTATAATCTAATTGGGCATTATGGTACAGCTGATTGTATGAGTACAGTTGGGCTTTATAATAAATTTAGGCTTTATAAGAGCTAATTTAGTCTTTATAGTACTAATTCAGGCTTATCATACAGTAGGGCTTTATAGTTTAGTTGAGCATTATGGTACAGCTGATTGTATGAGTACAGTTGGGCTTTATAATACATTTAGGCTTTATAAGAGCTAACTTAGTATTTATAGTACAGTTGGGCTTTATCATAGAGTAGGGCTTTATAGTTTAATTGGGCATTATGGTACAGCTGATTGTATGAGTACAGTTGGGCTTTATAATAAATTTAGGCTTTATAGTACTAATTCAGGCTTATCATACAGTAGGGCTTTATAGTTTAATTGGGCATTATGGTACAGCTGATTGTATGAGTACAGTTGGGCTTTATAATACTGTGATGTAAACAGAGTAATTATAAGAAGTTAGTATAGATATTAAGCCAATTTATAAGTAAGTGTGAAATAGTAAGATTAATTAGTAGAGTAAAAGTTACAGGCAGTTAGTAGAAGTTCAGTTGACCTCAGAGATAGAGTTAGAGAGAGAGTATAATGAGAACCTGAGCTGAGATGAGATATGAAACAATTAATAAACATAATTAGAAGCCTAGAAAACTTAAATAAGAAATTATATTCAAGAACAATTAATACAAGAAGCAATCTGTAGAAATATTAGATCAACAACAACAGGTCGTAGATTCGTTACGGGGCGCCCCCTAAAGATAACATCAGGACATCCTGTATCCGAAGGTAATATGAACAGCTTCTTTGGCAAATACATTTAGGCTTTATAAGAGCTAATTTAGTCTTTATAGTACAGTTGGGCCTTATCATACAGTAGGGCTTTATAGTTTAATTGGGCACTATGGTACCCCTGAGTGTATGAGTACAGTTGACCTTTATAATACATTTAGGCTTTATAAGAGCTAATTTAGTCTTTATAGTACAGTTGGGCTTTATCATAGAGTAGGGCTTTATAGTTTAATTGGGCATTATGGTACAGCTGAGTGTATGAGTACAGTTGAGCTTTATAATATATTTAGGCTTTATAAGAGCTAATTTATTGTTTATAGTACAGTTGAGCTTTATAATATATTTAGGCTTTATAAGAGCTAATTTAGTCTTTATAGTACAGTTGGGCTTTATCATACAGTAGGGCTACATGAGATCTCAAAAATATATCTTCTTGAATGCTCTTAGTCTACATATTAAAAAGTAATGTGACACAAATTTTAATCAGAAAAATATAACATTGCATTTTGTATTTTAGGTCCATTTTGTGTGGATGTTGTGTTTATTGTGCAAAACTCATGCACTATAGCAGATGTGTTGCTGGATGCAGTAAATCATAGTATAATAATCTTAGCTGACATGTTAAAAAGTGAAGGACAAACTAAAATAGCCTTACTAACATATAGCGCAGTGAGTTATCAATGAACTTTTTCAAAATATGCAAATTATACAATTAAGTGTTTACATTGTCATATGCTGAAGCTTTTATGTTTTGAGATTTAAAATTAACGTAAGGGAGAATTGGGCCAATGTTTACTGACTAAGATGCATGCTATATTAAGGACAAAAATAATGTGATCCATAACCTAAAAAGATAGCTGTGGTATTATAAATCATTTTTACAATTCAACTACAATTATTGCCAAATAGGCAATATTAACCCTCATACTACTAAATTGTGATGTTAGAAGGGGTGGTTGTCACATTAATTCAATGTTTTATTTTTATGTCACGTTAATTCAATGTTTTATTTTTATGTCACATTAATTCAATGTTTTATTTTTATGTCACATTAATTAATAATTTTATTTATATGCTCCCTAGAAAGCTAAGGAACTGATCCCACTGAAGAGTGCCAGTGAGTTCTTGAGAGACTACAGCAAAATAGACTTAAGAGGTCTCCCTAAGAAGTCTGCAGCATGCAAAAATATAATTCAAGCAAATACAACAGATGCACTCGCTATGATAGACAATAATATGGAAAAGTACTTCCCTGTGACAAAGTAAGTTCCCAATGTAAAGATATATTTGTATATAAGATAAGAGATGACGAGTAGAAACTGCCAACTATTTAAGTCATAGTTCCAATTACTCTTTCAACCAGTATGTTCAGTATATCCAGGGGCAAATTGATCGTACTCTACACTGATGGTCTTTCAAACATTTTCCAATTGTTTATTGCATTTTCTGTACATTCAGTATATCCGGGGGCAAATTGATCGTACTCTACACTGATGGTCTTTCAACCATTTTTTAATTGTTCATTGCATTTTCAGTACATTCAGTATATCCGGGGGCAAATTGATCGTACTCTACACTGATGGTCTTTCAAACATTTTCCAATTGTTTATTGCATTTTCAGTATGTTCAGTATATCCAGGGGCAAATTGATCGTACTCTACACTGATGGTCTTTCAAACATTTTCCAATTGTTTATTGCATTTTCAGTATGTTCGGTATATCCAGGGGCAAATTGATCGTACTCTACACTGATGGTCTTTCAACAATTTTCCAATTGTTTATTGCATTTTCAGTATGTTCAGTATATCCAGGGGCAAATTGATCGTACTCTACACTGATGGTCTTTCAACCATTTTTTAATTGTTCATTGCATTTTCTGTACATTCAGTATATCCAGGGGCAAATTGATCGTACTCTACACTGACGGTCTTTCAACCATTTTTTAATTGTTTATTGCATTTTCAGTATGTTAAGTATATCCAGGGGTAAATTGATCGTACTCTACACTGATGGTCTTTCAACCATTTTTTAATTGTTTATTGCATTTTCAGTATGTTCAGTATATCCAGGGGCAAATTGATCGTACTCTACACCGATGGTCTTTCAACCATTTTCTAATTGTTTATCGCATTTTCAGTACATTCAGTATATCCGGGGGCAAATTGATCGTACTCTACACTGATGGTCTTTCAACCATTTTTTAATTGTTTATTGCATTTTCAGTAAGTTCAGTATATCCAGGGGCAAATTGATTGTACTCTACACTGACGGTCTTTCAACCATTTTTTAATTCTTTATTGCATTTTCAGTATGTTAAGTATATCCAGGGGTAAATTGATCGTACTCTACACTGATGGTCTTTCAACCATTTTTTAATTGTTTATTGCATTTTTATGTACATTCAGTATATCGAGGGGCAAATTGATCGTACTCTACACTGATGGTCTTTCAACCATTTTTTAATTGTTTATTGCATTTTCTGTACGTTCAGTATATCCAGAGGCAAACTGATCGTACTCTTCACTGATGGTCTTTCAACCATTTTTTAATTGTTTATAGCATTTTCAGTAAGTTCAGTATATCCAGGGGCAAATTGATCGTACTCTACACTGATGGTCTTTCAACCATTTTTTAATTGTTTATAGCATTTTCAGTATGTTCAGTATATCCAGGGGCAAATTGATCATTCTCTACACTGATGGTCTTTCAACCATTTTTTAATTGTTTATTGCATTTTCTGTATATTCAGTATATCCAGGGGCAAATTGATAGTACTCTACACTGATGGTCTTTCAACCATTTTCCAATTGTTTATTGAATTTTCAGTACGTTCAGTATATCCAGGGGGAAATTGATCGTACTCTACACTGATGGTCTTTCAACCATTTTTCAATTGTTTATTGCATTTTCAGTACGTTCAGTATATCCAGGGGAAAATTGATCGTACTCTACACTGATGGTGTCACCTTTACCAGTAAGTTCACTATTGGGGAAGAACAACCACATGTAAAAGAAAAGATAGACAGCCTGCAATCAAAAGGTGTCATATTTGCACCTATTGATTATGACATTTATTTTTCCAAACCAAACGAGGTTGAGAAAAAGACGGAATTTCATTTGTACACTCAGACATTAGCCAAAAGAGAATTTCACATTATTGATTATTTTATTAATCAGTTTATGAACAGTGTTTTCAAGCGCTATCATTGTGCAGATCTGAATGCTGTATGAATAAAGAACCATTTGTCTTAGATAATAGACTTTATATAAGATGCCAAACAAAAATGTACATGTTGAAGTAAGGTCACTGGCGCAGGAGATGCATTTATATTTTAGGTGCATCAGTTTTACAATAGTCCCATTAGTTGGTAGTTTTAATCTTCAACATTTCTTGGTATTTTGAACAAAATGTATTGTATACTACAGGGTGGGCCAAAAAATTTTGCAACTTTTTTAAAAGGCTAGAAAAGTATCAAAACATAAGGGTAGCGCAGATCAGAAACTTGAGGATAGGCATATTTTACCAGTCAAATGATAAAGCTAAACCTGGCTTCAAATTTTTTTGTCAGATCTTTGAATATCAATGGTCAATTGTTCAAGTGTCCGAGATTTACCATTTTTCCTAGAAAATGTGACTTTCTATGATTTTATGTGATCAACAATAAGACATTCATAATGTTCACTAAATCTGCTACAATCTTGGATAACTGTTTAAACAATGTCTACCTCAATGTCTAGTTTATATTAGTATCTACTCACTATGGTATTATGTTATATTGTATTCATTAATTATATTTTAAACAAATGTTCTATGCATCCCCCTTTCACCTTCCCTATCGCTCCCAGCCATCGGGCAAAAGTCACTTTGGAATATCTGGAGGAGAATAAGCCTTGATTCATTAGTCCTGATGAATGGCTGCCAAATACCCCAGATGCCAACTCCTGTGACTATCACCATTGGGGGCACCTGGAGCAGCTTATTGCAGTTAATGGTAATCACCCACAAACTATTGTTAAACTAAAAGAAGTTCTGCAGGAGAAGTGGAGAGAACTACCACAAGAATCGCTGGATCGCGCCATTGACCAGTTCCGCCCATGTCTCCTTGTGCGCTGTAGAGAAGGTGAAAGGTGGATGCATAAAATTTGTTTAATAAATAATCAATAGATACATAATATCATAGTGACTAGATACTGATATAAACTGTACTAGACATTGGTTGAACAGTTATCTAAGATTGTAACAGATTTAGTGAACATAATGAATGTGTTATTGTTGATCACATAAATTAAACATTTTCTAGGAAAAACGGTAAATCTCGGACACATGAACAATAGACCATTGATATTCAAAGATTTGATAAAAAAAATTGAAGTCCAGTTCAGCCTTAGTATTTAAATGGTAAAATATGGCTATCCTTAAGTTCCTGTAAATAATTTTTTATGGCAATACCCTTATGTTTTGATACTTTTCTAGCCTTTTAAAAAAGTTGCAAAATTTTTTGGCCCACCCTGTATATATAAAGGTGTTGTTGATATAGTTCATTGTTCTGATTCCTACACGACACTCATACTCCAATGAACTGTAAAAATTTAAATGTGTATCATCGATCAAAATAAAATCAATGCAATAATGCAGTTTTGAGTTAATCTTGAGTTCTACAATTGTTGAACCAATGAAACACTTGCATCAGAGGGTCATCCTAGTCCTATTCTAAGCCAATCAAACGGTCATATTGGTAGGTGTGGTCATAACGTTACCTGCTCTGAACCAATCAAACGGTCGCATTCATGGGTGGGATTTGAGTTGAGGTCTCATTATCATCTTACCTCATATTTTAGGCATTACATACCAGTATATTTGTAATTGTTAAAAATGTGTGAATGTACACCTAATATGGAATAAAAAAATCTTATCTCATCACCAAAAGACTACACAAATATTTACAAAATAAATATTGCAAAATGCCCAGTTGCAACCAGTTTAATTCAAGACTATTGTGACCTGTCGATGTCATGTGATGTCAAGATTTAGACATTCCCAGCAACAGTGTTGATAAAACATATGTTGGTACCTCACACTTAAATGACTAAGCCATCAACACAAGGTACCTAACCCAAGAGTAGCTCATCATACTTAAATTGTATAATATCACAGACTTAAAGAAAGTCTATGTAAACATTGTAAAAGTTGGTACCTCACACTGAATGACTAAACCATCAACACAAGGTACCCAACACAAGAGTAGCTCAGCATACTCAAATTGTATAATATCACAGACTTAAAGAAAGTCTATGTAAACATTGTAAAAGTTGGTACCTCACACTGAATGACTAAACCATCAACACAGGGTACCTAACACAAGAGTAGCTCAGCATACTCAAATTGTATAATATCACAGACTATCACAGAAAGTCTATGTAAACATTGTACAGAATTGTTCCACTAACCTTGGCCATTTCTACTTCGTCTAAATTAGGTTTCTTTATCCCCTTCTTAGCCCCCATCTGTGACATCTTCTCTAATTTTCTCGTACAGAATGAGGCAAAGTGACTGATGGGCACCTAGAAAATAAATTTTAAACAAACATAAAATACAATTTCCTGAATTTTTGCATCAAAATGAATTCATAACAAGTGATTTTAGTAATTTTGACCTTCAACATAATTAATGAGTGTTTACTATTAAATTTAAAAAACCTTTGAAATCCATTAACTTATGAAAACAGGATTTCTACATCCTAATTCCTCAATGAGCCCAGTAGTCTATGCAAACATTTAGGATGTTGCAATGAGGTTTAAAACGTCCAAAATCATTAAGGACCAGAAAATTGAAGGAAAGACAATATTAATTTCAATTCTAATATACTATACTAATAAATGAGAATAAATGTCATGCAAGAAATCTTCAGTAGCGCAACACATGCAAAACATACAATGAACTTTTACTTAAATTCTATTCTACTATTTGCTACATACATGCAGGATTACTTAAAATGTAAATTGGTGAATGAAAAAATATATATATAAGTTTCTCTATTAACCCACTTAAACACAAATAGATAGCATGATGGTCAGAGCTGTCTAACATTGATAAAAATATAATAACATTTTGTTGAAATTTTGATCCCCTCGATTATATGATATCTTAATAGGTAAAGTTTTAATTGCAGATTTTGCCTGGAAAACATTTTGAAGAAATTTAGAATTCTTCAGATTTCTTTTAATTTCCTGGTCCCTTTCATTTAAGTTTCAAATACGATGAAAATTAAATTTTCCCAGCCGAACACTGGTCAGCTCAAACCATCAAGTAACACAAGCATATGTAACATCAAGGATATTTCTTGAACAAAGGACCATGTAATACAATTCTGCAATTCTAATTCAAATGACCTCAGGTATTACAAAACCAAATGGAGAAAAATATTGAAAGAATAGATTTTGTGAATCTTAAATCCATGCAATGTTCAAGAAATAGCCTCCCGACACATCTAAGTGATACATACAGGCAATCCTACCCTATCACTGTCCCCCGCAACATCTAAGTGAGACTGGAGAAAGCCCTCCAGGTAACCATAGAAACCAGTGGATGGGGGGAAGAATGCGAGACTCATCGCCATCAACTCCCAACCTCTCATCAAGCTTTCACTGAAACAAAAATTCCATGTTAAAAACTTCAGAAAGAACTATTGTAAAAAGAATTTCAATGTTTATTCGAAGTGAACTATAAAAGGTGGCGCTTATATGAAGAGAATCTATGGTTAACATTTTTACTTTTTCATGAAATTAACAAAATTGTATCAAAGAGTATCTGGTGATAAGGATGGGAATGTGAAACAATTTGTAATATTTGTACATTACAAGAAAAAGTCTACATAAATGGTCATTGATCACATTTAAAATTTAAGACACGCTATGATTCAAGTATTTTGTTGTAATTTAAATGCTGTTATCATCATTTTTCAGAAAAACTTAAAATCAGGCAGAAAACCTATTCAATTTCATAAATTTTGCATCGATAATAAAATAGCTATTTTCATACTCTTTTTTATTGCCTGTGCATTGTTTGCAGAGCTGGAAATACAGTTCATCCCTCAGTGCAATCATGCTCCAGCCCTTTGTTATCACATCTAGGGCCGTAAGAGGAAGTGATGCTTTGGCCTTGCGGTCCCCCATGTATGCCTGGATCAGCTTGAAGAGATCTACTGCTTCTTTCTTAAGGACCTTGTCAGTGCTCTTCAGTATAGGCTTTGTGATGGGGTCCTGAAAACAAACAGAATTGTCAAACTTTTGAGCATACTATGGAGATAATTCAGGAGAATAATTTAGTTAGAAAGATATTTAATTCACAGAAAATATAGCTACTTATTCAATCTACAGACTGTACTACAGTACAAGATTTTGTATTTTAATGTACTGTCACACAAGAATATATCTATGTACCTCTGTTATGGATATGAGACCAAATATACAAAAATATCAAGGCATTTACTTGACACAATTTCAGATGCTGATCGGACCCAAATACTGGTCACAAAAATGATGGCTATATCCAACAATCTGTTGCCATTAAAACAGTAAAATGATGTTAAGAAATATTAATCTTTCTCACCTTGGACCAAGCTAGCATCTTAGTCGTAGAGACATTCTTCCCAAACAGTCCTTTCTTGTGTTTGTTCACTTCAATTCCTTTGTGTGTGTGGGCATAATGGTCCATATCACTCTCAGAGTTCTGCTTCTTAGCCTTACTTAGTTGGCCACCAGATGGCGGCCTTGTGTTTGCTGGGAGGGTGCCACCGCGACTCTGAAATATTCAGAATATCGTAAAAATATTTCTCGATTTGAGGTGTTACGAGAATGCAAGAAGGGCCACCTATATATTAACAGTAATATAATCTTAAACAGTTTAAAATTCTTAAAATTGAACTGCATGAATAGCCTCATTTTTGAATTAACAAAAATACTAGCTAATAAAATTGATAATTTCATATTCCATATAAACCTAAAATTGTTAGAACAAAAAAGCTCATGTTGTTCAACAACCAAACAGCAGTTATTTCACTAAAAAACAAACGTTTTTCATCAACATGTTTGTCCAGTTATCATTTTTAATTATCAATATCTTAATTCTTGAAAAAATGTTCTTGGATAACACTCAAAATCTCTTGAGGCATAAACGCTTACAAATCTCAAAAACACAAATAGAGACACATTTAAAGCAATTAGAAGGGCAAAGAATGTTATTTGTTGTGAGATGGAATCTTCAATATCATTTCAATGCTTCCTTTACAATCCTAATTCTATTTGCAGAATGCATCAAAGGTCATATGAATTGAATTTTTGACAGGTAATCTCAATAATCAAAAGGCTTTTTAGATAAAAGGCATAACATGGAATAATGTGACAAAATATATTGTAACAATTTACACCAAGCTCTTCCCTATCCCTTCTCCTCCCTTAAATTAGTTAGTTAGCATAACGACGATCCAAATGTTTTGAGTGGGCAATGCAATTGGTGCGACAAATAAACTAGGGACCCCATGATGCATTATCTAAGTGAACCAATGATATTCAATCACACATATATTCATTTAAAGCATCTTGGGAGCCCTAATATACAGGTTCATCATCTAGGGATTGATGTTAGATTATGTTAGAGACAGAAGCAACTTTGAAAAAGTCTTACAAAGCAACAAGAACAACAACCCTGACTGGCTTCAGCTTCATCTTTTATTGCTATGGTAACATTTTCCTAAAATTCCAAACACTTATTTATCACGGTTACATCAAGCTGAATCAAGGAATCAATTGATATATTGTAAGTCCATGCAGATTATTAGTACTTTGTTTAAAGTAAGTAGATTTCGGGATAGAAACCCAATCAAAATAGTTTTAGTTTATAAAAAAAAGAATATTCATGCATCCCGAATGACTCTAGAACCTTGAATGATAACAGTGTTAGTTCATAATACTAAAAAATATCAAAACATGTAGCAAAGTACAGTATATAAGCTTCAAGCAGGGATATCGGTCATTTTTTAACTTCATGCATAAAAACCATCCACCAGATAAGTGTATATGTTGTTAGTTTTAGCGTAAAAACGAGGAATTTACCACGATTATGAGATCACGGTTATCTGGTAGTTCATCTTCCCCAAACGAATTCTACGACGATAAAATATATTTCAATCACAAAATAAAATAATAAAAACGACAAAATATAATGCTTGACTCAGATAAGAAGAAATCACGATGTATGGTATCATATCCCACCATCGTGTTTCTTTAACTTGAGTTATGGCAGTGGCTACTCCATGGCAGGCCATTGTTATATGTTCCAGAACACAGTAAACAAATACAACAATTATGTACAGAAAAACCTGTGTATGGACACAAACATTTCTATCCAAAATGAACAGTCTCATATTATGTTTTATGTCCTGTAGCTCTGTATTATCAAAATATCTTCTGATTCAAACATATTTAGTTGGTGCAATCAAGGTTTACTTATTAGACACAGGTTTTACTGTAAAGTATTGAACAATGAAGATGTGTGCTGACAACAATACTACATAATGTATGGTACTTATACATCAAAATGAATATCATTGAACTGAACTGATCACAAAACTCAAATAGCTATGCATAAATCAATCGGAAAAGTTAACAATTCTACTCTGCTTTTACAGAAAAAATGTTCACCAGCAAATCATAAATGAAATCAAAATATGAATGAAAAAATATGAAAGTATTTTTACCTGTCTGTGTAAAGATCCAGTGCCAGCATTAATGACCAATGTACCATCAGTGGCGGACCCAACTACCATCGAGACTGGACGTTGAGACATCTCCTGTTGAATCATGGGTAGTTGCTCCAGAGAAGTTGGGCTAATCTGTTCAATTTCAGCCTGGCGTTTCCGACGTAGAGATGCATGCTGGGTTTCCAAGGGCAGCATTGGTAGTGGTCCCTTGTTACGAATTTTAGGTGATGGTGTTGAGAAGACACTACTTGATTCTTCCGAGTCATCAAATTCGTTGTCATATTGTACATCAAACTGTACATCTCCACCTAGGTGAGTATATTTTAGAACATACAGTAATGTCTCAGCAATAAAATACATATTCGAGGTCTAAACTCTGAATACATGAACTTAATCTTTAATCATATATAGTTATACGACACTTATGACAACATGTTTGCAGCATCTAAGAACTCAAGTAAATTATCTAAAAATTGTACAAATCTCTTTATGCATATAATTGGTCTAAACCATAATTTGTAAACTGATGAAGAAACACTGAATCAAACATGTCAAAAGAGGGAGCTAAGTACATTGAGCCCTTAATCCTCAGTAAACATTTGAACTACGGCAAACATACTTTGGCCGTAGATTCCCAAAATCAAGAGAAATATGCAGCATAAAATATAGTGATGAGCAGTACAATGTAGATTTTCTATATCAATTTTGTGAAGCCATGGCTGCCGTAGAGCAAATGTGACAAAGACTTTAGAGAATAAAATAACCTTCATTTCACATAAATATTAACCTACCTTCCGATGTATGTGAAGTTGAATGAGAATTCTGGGTATTTACTGATCTAGGACTTCCTGGAAGGTCATCCTCTAATATCACACCATGACTTGTAAACCTATCACCAGTGACATCTATCTTTGAGTCAATATCATCAATGTTTATATCTTCCTGTTTTACTTCAATATCCTTGTTAGAGTCCTCTTTGGGTTTATCAGATTCAACTTTATTTTTATCATTATCATTAATAAGTGCGTTATCCTCGGCATTTTTTAACCGTTTTTCTAACTCTTTAATTATACTAGGTTGCGTTTCCTGAAAGCTTGACATTTGTTGTTGAATGAACTCTAAATGTTTATCAGTTTCATTCTTCAGATATTCCTCATCCTTTGCATTAAGTTCTTCCTTGTCTTTAATATCTATAGTACCTTTAGTGTCTGTTGTATCAGTTGTTATGTTGTTTTGATTATCAATTTGTTTGTTTTTAGTGTCAACATCTGATGTTTTATTAGTCCTTTCACTATCAAGTAATTTTGACGGTGTTGTTATATTTTGATCACTAGTTTTTATTTCATCTTTCTCATTTTGTATTGGTACAAATGGTGACTTAGGTATTTTAGGTGTTCTCTCAGATTTTATTGGTTTAAAACGTCCCTCTGCTGTTCGTATCTGTTTCAAGGGTTCCTTTGGTGACTCAAGAGGTTTAAAGGAATCTTCAGCTTTTTGTATAAGTTTAGAAGATTCCTCAAGACTTTCAATAGGTTTGATAGGCTCCTCAAAAGTTTTTATAGGTTTAAAGGAGTCCTCGGAAGTTTTTATGGGTTTGAAGGGTTCCTCAGGTGGAGAGGCTTTGAATGTTTGTAGATTACGTTCACGTCGCCTTCTTGGCGGTTTCTCTATTCTTTTTGGCTTATCCTTGATGAGCGCCTCTAGGTTAGCTGCAGGGGTGAGTTTAGGGGAGGAAGGTTCAGGGATATGTGAAGGTTTGGCCTTAGTACTTGGTTGTTTAACTGGTATCCGGGTCACCAGTGCAGGTGCAGGTGCACTTGCGGGTTGCTCAGAGGGTTGGATGGTAACAACCTTAGAGCTTGTAAAATGCAGAATTGGTAAGTTGGCGTATGTTGGCTCAGGCTCAGGAAGTACTGGGGATTCGGGTTGGACCTGCTTTGGTGTATAGGACCCTTGTCTATTGTTCAAACTACCTATACCTGCATCCTCAAAGGAGCCTCTAGAACCTAACGTGTCTTCTTGGCTACTTTTATGTGAACCCTCAGACGAGTGACTATCTTGCATTATATCGTGATTAGGCAAATTACGCAATGAACCCTGGGAAGAGTGACTATCATGAATATTCCGTAAGGAACCCTGCGAGGATTGTGAGTCAGAGTGAGAATGATCTCGTTTGTGATGATGGTGATGATGATTCAATGTAGATGACTGGGAAAACTGACCACTAATCCCACTATCCTGTGAGTAATGGCGATCTTGAGGAGCGAGTGGTCGATCGCGGTCACGGTCCCGATCCCGGTCTCTATCCCGTCCCCGAGAGTGATCATGTGAGTAGCGCTCCTGGGAATGATGATGATGTAATCGTCGTGAGGATGAGTTAGTTGAGTGTGAAGTGTCACTATCCGACCTATCTACCCTGTAGTAGTTTATAGGACTTCCCGGACCTGGGTAGTCTGGCTGGTAGGTCTGTACTGTCTGTACAGATGAGGTATTCATAGAGAACTCTGCTGGGGAGACCATCTCACCATGACTGCCTGTAAAGTGGGCCACTGGTTCATATAGAGGTTGAGCCAGAGGTGGTTGCTCAGGGGATGGGGGCTCAATGTTTATTCTTTTATAATTAGAATTGTGAATTCCATCTCGTTTAGGTGTAGCTACATATGCAGGGTTTGTGCGGGGAAATGATCGAGGTTTGGGTTTTGGGGTTGTTTGTACAGGGGGAGGGGCTTGTGTTATATGGCTAGGTATGTCTGTATAGTTTATGTAATCCTCTCTTGAGAACATATCAGGTCTATATCCATGGTCAAAAGAGCTTCTCTGCATCATAGGACTCTGCATGTGCTCATAGGGTGATCTAGTCATTGATCCCTGATCCGCAGATCCAGATCTTGTCATTGATCCTTGATCCATAGATCCTGTCCTAGTCATAGATCCCTGATCTCCAGATCCTCTATGTGGAAAATCGTGTCTATCATGTCTATCGGAACGGCGTGGCCGCTGTGGCTCACGTTCCTCATTTGCATTATCAACAGAGCTACGTCGTAACTTTGGTGATCCTAGTGACCTCTGGGGTAAATCAGCAGAGTCACGACGTACATATGCCATGGAAGCTTGTGATGTTTGACTGCCTCGTCTCCGGGAGATTCGTTCACTGCCATTGATGTCTCGTTCAAATCTGCCACTCCCTCCTGATGATGACCCAGAGCCTGACCGATGGTGGTTGTGCTGTAATGGAGAACACAGCAGTCAGTTTAATGATAACATTTAAGTTTCTTTAACACTTAGTTGCATGTTATAGTACATAATACTCTTGTCATCAGGTTTTCTATTTTGGAAAATGATTCAGTGGGCTCTCGAGTATTCCAAATAGTGTCAAAAGGATAAAATAATGAGGTATTTTGACCAAAACAGATGAAACATATTAGTCATGAACATCCCTATAAGAAAGAACCTGAAGAGATCAGTGAATCCTGATCCTGATTTAGCTGTAATTTTGCTTTAGTTCTGTCTCAAATGTCTTGTTCTCTCTACCTATCCTGTCTGGAATCACTCTCCAAAACCTCCTGATAACTTGAGTAAATAAATTCAACACATCAATTTTGAGAAAATAGAGTAACAACAATCAGGATACAATGAAATATGTGTAATAGAATTAGTATTTCTATAGAAAATATACATTTATAAGATATTTGTTAAATAGAATATAAGACAAAAGAAATGCTAATCAAAAAATACAACTAAGAAACTCAGCTATTCTACAGGGCAAGTGAGATTACGGATCACTTACATGTCGTCTAGATGGATGGGGACTAGTTTGCGAACATGAGGAGCGTATTGACCCAGAACGCACATGGTGATCACGTTTCTGCAAGTGCACAATACACACAGGGTTAGAAAACAGAACATGAATTACAGGGTTAGAAAACAAATAAATCACAATACTGTACATACAGGGTTAAAAAGTACACACATTCAATGTACATATAAAATTAAAACAAATAAAAAATGTTAAAAATTTAGAAGACACAAAAATAATGTCAAAGAAAGGTGGCAGTTTTTAAGACGTTTACAACAAGTAAAATATCTTCGGCAACATTATGACCTCAAATTCCTATATTAAAAATATAAGTGAAAGATACAGGCAAAGTTGATATAATTTGAGGTGAAATGAAAGGAGTGCTCAAAATGGAGGATGTTGCACCCCCAATATCTGTGGATGGGGGACCTTATACCAAAGGGTCTGAATATAAGGGGTGGGGGTGATTATAATACCTCAGCTAGCTTGCCCTCTAACTCAGGCAATATGGATTCAAATAGGTCAAACATGCTCTGAAAACGACCAAAATATGCTTAAAATTTTATGTTATATCAAACACTGCACCTATTTGCCAATTTATTGAACATAAAATCTTGCAATTGACACGAATCAATATTTCAAACTCAGTCATTGAAAATGAAAATATATCTAAGGCTGTAGCCAGCATTCATTTTGAAGGGAGTTTACTTTTCAGAGGGGATCTCATTCATCAGAGGCTTCTGTAACAGAGCTTGATAAAGACTAAATCCTCAAAGATGCTAATTTTGACCAAAATAATACAAATATTTTCTGGAAGAAATTTTGGGATAAGTTGCATGAGCATCCAGGACCCTTCTGTATTTGGGCATGAATTGATGGGGAGTAAATCAACCCCCTCTCTAATAGGGGTGGCCTACTCTCCATGCATGCATCTTGAGCTGTCAGGGATGTTTCTTTGTAAAGAAAACCTCCTACGCTAATCTATATATGTAATCATGCATTAAAAACTGATTGCATTTTCATATGACATGCTACCTTCTTTTAATTCAGAAATGAGCTTCACTATTCGTGCTTTGTTTCTAACTGGCAATTTACACAAAAGATTATTACCATATGTATCAGATGCTGGCACAGTTTTGCCGGAAGTTTGCAAGAAGTAACTTTTGGCAATGCAGTGTGTTAGAGTAACCTAGTAGGTGTAAGAAAATATAAGGTGATGGCCTTTAAAGTGGTAAAAACAATTTTCACGGCCGAATTGGACTTCAATTCCTGCGATTTCAGGGGGTACTATAAGACTATTTCATAACATAAAGGATATAGTTGCTATTGTTCTGCTTTCTACAGCACGCATTACTAGTCCAGAGATGAATAATATCCTAAAGTTATAGGTCGATATCTATATTAGTCTCAGAAATATTGCAATTAATTGGAAAAAATACGCAATTTTAGTCATTTTTAAGTCTCACATATCTTATATTTGTAGCTTCCAGCAAAAGATGGCAGCTTAAATAGCTCAAAATTGTTTTCTAAAAACTAATTTAAGCTTTGTTTGATATTGTAATACAATTATCATAATGATAATGTACTATTTATGATTTTTAATATGACTTTATAGTACCCTACCCCTGGAAAGTGGGCGTGGTCAATGTTATCATTTTGCAGCATACAATTAAAAACTTATATTGATAGAAAGCAAATCAATGCATTTTTAACATTTTCACTTGTTACTTGACATTGTAATTCACTCATTACTAAAATATAGGACTCTACATATTTTATATATACGTTTTCAATTTTGTACAATGTATCATGATGAAATCTAACAGGCTGGTTCATTTTCAGTGTTCACTAATGCATGAAATGTAAGTCACAGTGTTTCCAAATTACCTTTGCAATGAGAAAGTACCACAAAGACTACATAATATGAGCAGTTTCAAGGTCCTAATACTAATACTTACCGATCTATCGGCGTTCAAAAATAGAGAAAGCTGTCGTGAGTGCAGTTTTAACTAACTTTGAACTGAAACTGCTGCTTAATGAATATTTTTCTCAACATCTGTGACTTTTTTAGACCCCAAACATAAGATACCAAGACATAATGCTACCAAGTTCTGATATTGGAAGTTTCAGAGCTCTAGATCAAATATTCACTTCTGCATGTACTTTTAAAAAGAGGCAAAAGGACAAAAAAACTGTCAGATATCGTGAAAAATATGAAAGATGCACTATTCAGAACAATTTATCTCTTAAACGTTACTTTTATTTGACATAATTTCTGATTCTGCCTCCAGTTAGTACCACCAATAATACATATGAGAAGACTTAACGTCATAGTAAGTGGAAGTACAGATCTATTGGCTTCTGAAAATGGGAAAAGCTGTAGCAAGTATGATTTTCACCAGTTTTTCATCTAAGACTGCAACTTTCTGAATTTTCTTTTTACAAACTGCACAGTAAGACCAAAGACATTAAAGGAAACCTGGTCATTGTACCACCAATAATAGGTAAAAATAATATTGGTAATATATACCAAGTGTTTACTTAAATTTCAAGGCATCTGAATTGATAAATAAATGAAATCAGTACTTTATTGTATCTTGGGACAAAATACACTGTTTGAATGCTTAAGCTTGACATCACAGTATCAAGTGAAAGTTGTTATATACAGCTATATATCACTTTAACTGACTTTACTCTTCAATTTGAAATATGCCTGGCCATTCTAAGAAAAATGCGACAGATGGCAAAGAGGGTGCATGGTATAATTGGTAATTAAGCTCTTCTAGAGTTTAAAGCTCCCACAATTTTTAAAACCAAATGGAGAATAACATGTGAAAGTATAGGATGGACTAATTGTTCTAAGAAAGTTTTTGAAAGTAACATTGCATAAAATATTTAAGCAAGAGATATGTTCCAAAATGCTTTCAGGTAGAAATAAAGCTCCGTAATGTAAAAACAATGTATTCTCAGTATTCAATAATAACATTCTTTATAGGTTTTTTGGTCTTAAGCATATCAGTGATTATCCCATGGTTGCAAGGATATAGATCGAATATCACATGAAGATATATTTGATATGTGGATCAAGTTATAATATTTTAGCAAAAAATTCACAAACCATCGAATATCACTTTTAAACTATCGAATATCACGTCTTAAAAACATTTTTTCGCTGATGATGATTTCCCATGGGATAAATAATTTTTTTTTCAAAAATATCAATTATATCCACTCATGGATACAAATATCTTCACTCACTCGCTGCGCTCACTCATGAAAATATCAATATCCACTCATGGATATAAATGATATTTTTTCAAAACCATAGGATATTCCTATATTATATCAATCCGGATGCTGAAGTCACTTAATAAATAATAACTAGATGTAACTCCTAGTAAGCACTTCAAGTTTCATTTCTAAATAAAATACAGTTTAGTTAAAAAATTGTTAAAAATACATACATTTTTTCACAATCACAATTTCCCCATTTCTGACTGTATTTTGCATATTTTTAGGTGTCAATGGTTAAATAATTATTTGATATAACCTCCTGAAACTACTCTCATATATATTTGGTGGTACAGTGATATGGAATCCTGTCTTTTGGGGTCTCACTGAATTCTTGGTTTAGAGAAGAAAATCCTGAAAGCTGCAGTTTAATATTATGAATTATAGGTGAAAATTGCACTTGCTACACTGCTTCTCCCATTTTTAGATGCTAATAAATCTGTAACTACACTTACAATGACCTTAAGTCTACTCATATGTATTATTGGTATTACTAACTAGAGGCAGAATCAGAAATTATGGGTAAATAAAAGTAAAATTTAAGAGATAAATTGTTCTGAATAGTGCATTTTGTCACATTTTTTCGCGATATCTGACTGCATTTTGTGTCTTTTGGGTCTTTTTAAAAGTCCATGCAGATATGAATACTTGATCTAGAGCTCTGAAATTTTCAATACCGGAATTTGGTAGCACTATGTCTTGATATCCTGTGTTTGGACTCTAACCAAATCACAGTTGTTGAGAAAAAAATTCATAAGTAGCAGTTTTAATTCAAAATTAGTTGAAACGGCACTCAAGACAGCTTTCCTCATTTTTGAAAGCCGATAGATCGGCAAGCATTTACACCATGATCTTGAATCTGGGCATACATATTCTTAATGGCACTATCTCATTGCCCAGATATTGTGGAAACATTGTGACTTATATTCCATGTGATAGTAAGCACTGAAAATGGACTTGTTGCATTGTGGCGAACCCCATACAAAGCAAACATAGGGGTAGGGGGGGTTTAAACGTTGATCAGTTCTGCTATTTTTTGTGGCTATTGGTCATATAGTAGATCATTTTGTCAAAAGGTAAGGATGATCCGAGAAAAAGTTTGTTAATTGAAACAGCCTATTAGATTTCATTATGATACATTGTACAAAATTGAAATTGTATATATAAAATATGTAGAGTCCTATATTTTAATAATAAATGAATTACATTGTCAAGTAACAAGTGAAGATGTTTTATATGCATTGATTTGCTTTCTATCAATACAAGTTTTTAATTGTATGCTGCAAAATGATAACATTGACCACACCCACTTTCCAGGGGTAGGGTACTATAAAGTCATATTAAAAATCATAAATAGTACATTATCATTATTATAATTGTATTACAATATCAAACAAAGCTTGAATTAGTTTTTAGAAAACAATTTTGAGCTATTCAAGCTGCCATCTTTTGCTGGAAGCTACAAGTATAAGATACGTGAGACTTAAAAATGACTAAAATTGCGTATTTTTTTCCTATCAATTGGAATATTTCTGAGACTAATACAGATATCGGCCTATAACTTTAGGATATTATTCATCTTTGGACTAGTAATGTGTGCTGTAGAAAGCAGAACAATAGCAACTATATCCTTTATGTTATGAAATAGTCTTATAGTACCCCCTGAAATCGCAGGAATTGAAGTCCAATTCGGCCGTGAAAATTGTTTTTACCACTTTAAAGGCCATCACCTTATATTTTCTTACACCTACTAGGTTACTCTAACATACTGCATTGCCAAAAGTTACTTCTTGCAAACTTCCGGCAAAACTGTGCCAGCATCTGATACAATAGATGTTAAGAGTTGAAAGTGATTAGCAAATCATTCTGTATAGTATCATATAATTACTACATATATCAATGATATCTAATTTGATTATAATATGAGGTTTCTAATCTGACGGAATAATGATCCGTTTCATACAGACTGCTTTTTAATAAAATAACAGAAATGTTTCTTAATATAAAAAGTGATAAATCAAACAGTAGAAAAACAAAAAACAAAATGTTATTCATAGATATTATCTATTATATCTCTTTTGTCACATATACATGTATAGCAGTTTGAGTCTACAATTTAATATTTTGCAAGGGTTAACACCAGAAAATACAGTTATATATTTTGCAAGGAAGTGTCTTTCGCATCATTTAGTTAATGAAAAATGATAATATTTCTTTTGTTCATTGGAATCATTCCATATTCTAACAAGAATGGTGTTAAATACAGTTCAATGAGATTCTGTAATAATGTATATTTTTATATTTTCTAATGTAATATGAGTATCTTCAATTTTAAATACAAACTGAAGATTTAATCTGAAAAAAAAATTCTTGAGATTTCAACCAATTGATTCTGCAAACCAGATTTTAGTTAATATCCATTTTAATCTAAATTGAGATGAAGTTGCACACTTTGTAAATGACAATAGAATGACAATGCACGTGCAGATCATAATTATTTCATCTTGTCCTTGCATAACCCCTACCTCCCCCTCAGGTGCATAGTTTATTATCCTATACACATGCATACCCTCATTAAGACCATCTATAAATTAAATCAGGAAAGAATGAAAGTCAATCCCATTGTTATATGCCACTTGAAAAATACAATATTCTTATTATAAAGCTTGAGGGATTAGTGTATGTTGCATCATGGGAGAATCTATCCTTTGTTTTGAATTTTTTATAGAGATATAGCCGTATGTTAAGAATTGATCAAAAGTTTTGAACAATACAGAAGAAACCACAAATTAATCTTCTTTAATAAGCCTTACAAAAAATTAGTTTTTGAAATTAGCTAATTCTTCTGCAAACAAACTCTATTTGTTTTATATTGTCTGAAAATTGAGGTATTAAGTCATGTTTTGTGGGTTTAATCCTCTCCCATTGTACTAGTTTTTAGAGTTTACTGGAATAAAAAAGTACATCTGATCGAGAAGTGACTTTTTCCAGGATTTTTAATGATCTTTTATGAGTGAGTCACTACTGACTAGACGTACATTTGCATAGTAGCCACAATGGGCCCAGGTATGAACAATAGCAATTTATTACATTATGTGTGGTATAATGAGCCATTATTGCAGAAAAAATTAAATGGCAAACAATGATCCCCAAGGAAAAAATAAATGAGAAAAGTTCATTGGGTTTGCCTTGGGGATGGTGTCTACATTGAAATTTTGTTAGGGGAAGGGGTGAATGATAATTAAGCTAATTAAAAAACTAATTATTTTGATTTTGAAAAAATATTACTCAATAACTCTACATCAAATCTGCCAGTCATTCTCAGAAATATGTTTCATGTAAATCAAATAGCTGATTAAATCTCAAAAAACCTGCCACTCAATTTTTAATTCTTATCTAGTCGCTATTCATCTTCAAGTTATTTGAAATAGGTCACGAGGGAGCTATTACATTCATGATTGAATCACAGAATATGATATCATAGTTGTGTCTAATTAGCAATGGCATTGTCACTGAAAAAATGAATCACTGTGCATTGTACCTTGAAATTAATCGCCAATCTAAGATTTTATCGTGCAATTTATAGGCAATTTTAAAGATAACAAAAGCTTTTGACAAAAATAATGTCACAATTTTCTACAAGAACACAGATGACAATACAGCAACTAAATGACAAAGTGACAACACTCCTATTTCACAGAATTAAGAATGTTTATAAAATATTGCAAAGATGCGTCAACAAAAAAAGCATTTTATTTTAGGTACCCCCAATGACGCATCAAAACAATGATTAAGCAGTTTTTAGCAGTTTTGACAAATGAGATATGATTGTTACTGACGTGTCTAACGAGACTTCACTAATTCTGATTGGGAAAAAGTGAACTCACATAAAAATCTCGTAAATAAATAGTTATGTTTCAACCAGTTAATGTGATAGAAACTATGAGAATGATTCATGAAAAACAAGAATTGAAAGTTCTCTCTCTGATAAGATTCTCCCTGGGTAAGGTTGGGATATGCTTCACCATACACTATATAATTCTTCACAACATCTTCAACATCGATTTTTGTCATTGCTATGCTATACTATTCTAGTCCCCCAGGAAGATACACAGCCATCGTGGGATCCACAGGCTGCACTATCTCTATGACAAGCTTTAGACGAAAGCATTAACATGCAAAATGCCACCACCTACCATTTGTAAACAGACGCTGACTGCCAAAAACCAAACACCAACCACTGAACACCATCCACAAAAAGTTGGGGACTATAACAATATGTCACCACTTTTGGTGGTGACATAATAAAGAGGCACTCTGATAATACACTAGAGTTACATTTTTAACCTAGAATCAAGAAAGAAAATCCAAACTTTGGATCACAAGAAAATGAAAGAACCCATCTTGGCATTCTGATACATATTACATCTTTCTACCTTCAACTAGAAAGATGCTTATAGAAGGCCATGATTTCTCATATTGCCATCTGGTTATCAAATGCAACATTCTAAGTTCTACATTCCCACATAGGAGGAACTTAGAAGAATTCCATATCACCAGTTTGGACCACATCTTAAAAAACTGGTACTCTGCAGTAGTCTAGCTACACACCTCTGTGTTGGGCTGGTGGAGTAGATAAGGAGGGGGGGGGGGTCTTAAAGCAAGACTACTCAAAATACAAAGTATGCGAAAAGTCATTTTTGAGAATATCTGGTGGTCACGATTATGATGTTATGCTGACCACAGACAATATGATACACAATGTTTCTACTGCCATGAGAATTGCGAGCATCTGCAGAATGCAAGGCTCACCAGAAGTGACCAGTATGGGATGATTCATGAAATATCTCATAATTAAAATGTTAATTGCTAAGTAGTATCATGTCAATTGACTGCTAGAAAACATTGTTATGGTGTGATTTAGAGCTTTTCTATTGCCCACCATGGCTAGGCATCTGTCACAGGATTTACTGATTTCAGTAATTCATATTCATGAATTTGGAGCAGGCCAATATTTGAGTGACAAATAAGACCTCTCTGAGGAATTGAGAACTAACTGTCATGACTGTGAAGCAATTCAGAGATTAAAATGGGAAACTGAGAAACATTTTAATTTTCAGGCTACTACAATGAGCAAATATATGGCAACTAGCCTCCTATTTGTGAACTTAGATAATATGTACAAAATTTCTGACCAAAGGTCTGAGTAGGCTGGAAACACCTAAACAATTTGAAGATCAGATGAAGAGATCTCAAAGTTATCAATTTATTAGATATCCATAAATGTGCAATTACTATGTATTTTATATAATGCCAAGAGCCAGGGGTGATCACAGTTCTTAGCAACCACAGAGGCCAAAAGTTCAGCTAGAGTGTTTCTCTAATATTATAATTACAAATCTTAAGGAAGTAAATCAATGGGAATTAGAAACACAAACCCTGAATAATCTCATTATAACCAATTCTCAAGTTGTCTCCTTGGTTTATAAGAACACTTGATTAACTGATTCCACAATTAGTTTAATTAGTGATCAAAGTTAGGAAAATCAAATGGATGTCAATCTTTTCCAGTTCATATTTAGTATGGGTCTTTTTGTATTACTAACTATTAACATTGTTTTGGTTTCATATTTAAGAGATTTTTCACAATCTTTTTTGAGGTTGTCGAACTGGTTGATTGGTCTAGAGCACTTGGTATATGATAAAGGTAAAGACATGATAACCTAAGAAGTTGTGAGATGTGTGTTCTCCAGATATACCTTTGATGAATGGAATAACCTGATTGCTTTTGACTGTTTTAGCCCCAGAAGAGCCTTATTAATATACACTCTGTAGTAGATTTCATGCACATTATAAAATCTCTAAAACGAAAAAGAAATATTAAAAAAATTCTGGCATTTAAGGAACATTGCACTTTATACAACATTTCAAAAAACCTCAGAATAAGAAAGTCAAATGTGAAAATCACTTCAAAAATACCTGACACATTCACAATTGCAAAGTACAAACCACACATATGTCGTTTTGGTCATTAGACAATATCTATCCAAATGCCATGATACCGTGAGTTTGTTTGTGGTACCATCAGGTCAACGAGGGGCCTCACTCATCTACATAGTCCCTCACTTCAGTTATGACACTGCAAGCAAGCTCACAGACAATAGAGTCTATTAGGGCAGTGCCTATGGTAAACATCATACTTACTTTTCTGGCATCACTGCCAACAGAGGTTTGGGTTGAGATCTCACGTTTAGGAGCACGCTTCTCATCATCATCCTCCCTCGCCTCTGTGTTCTGTTTCAGAGTCTGGAAATATTAACAAAATTAAATTTTAGAATCATAGTAACATTTAGCACCTTTCATCTTAATAGCTTTTATTAAGCACCTTTCATTTTCCACCTTTTACTGAGTACCAAACATTTGGCACCTATCTTTGAGGATCTTTCATTTCAAGTTTGGATGATCATGAATTCAATTAGAGGCAAACGATGGAGGACTTCTTTATAACTGCTATATAGCAATGTTACCTGAATGTAGGAGCCTAAAATAGAAGCTATATGAATTGGAGAGGTTAATAGCCATGCCATGTAAAGAACAAATGAGACCATTAGTTTTAGCTTTTTTTCAAGCTGGCTATAAATCTCTTTACACAGATAATGAATTTCTTATTGTTTTGGTTGTTTTAAAAACTACATGAATGTGTCTTTAATCAAAGTTAATAAAACTGCAAACCAAGCAGAAATACTTGGATATCAATGATGAAGAAAATGATTATTTTTTTCTATTTAATAGCTCCAGTGCAAGTAAACATTACAGCACCCAAAGATGAACCTTCTTTGAAGTGATATTCTTAAAACGTTCCAGAATACAACATCAAAGGTCTCTCGGAAAATAAATAACTTACAAAAAATAGACATCCCATCTTGAACTTCAGCTTCATCTGTTACATCGTAATCCACTTAATAAATAGAAATTTTATATCCATCGAATATCCAAGAAAAAATCAAACTGATTCAGAAAATTCCAATTTTGTATTTTATACCAAAATGAGACGAATTAGCATAGTACACCTCATTGTTTGTTATTGATCGTTCACAAGGCACTGTCAAATTGAATTAATAGCAATTATCAATAGGAAATTAGAAATGTGCTGCTTATTTGTGGTTTTTGCCTGTATTGGTTCTGAGATCATTACAATCTTGCCTAGTCATAAAATGTTGTTGAGTGCATGTTTTAAAATATAAAATGGAGCAGGAAAGAGGAATGCAATAAATGAGCATGCAATCTTTTCTTGAAATTATATAAGTATGTGATAAAATCTTTAAATCAATGATTATTTTAAAGAGAAAATGTTTATATAAACAAGACCAGACTAACAATTTACAGAGGGGTCAATCACATTTTTCATGGAACCGCAAGAAGAATCTTATGAAAGTTTGAGTAATTAGAAAGATAGTTCAAATGATGTGCATTGTTGTGGAATTGCCCTTACAGAAAAAACACCTATCAATAATGCAACATTTTCTAATATAAAGCAAACAAGTATCAAGAAAAATACTAAGGGTCGTGAATAAATAAATGGCATGCAAACAAACTAATACATGTGTAAAAGATTTAGCATATACTCGTATGGGTCATTTTAGAAAATTATGAGAATAAGAGGGGAGAACAATAGATTATGATCTTATGGAATTATTTTTAAGAGTTGAATGACTGTTCATTATACTGAATCAGATGATAGATAGGTCTCATAATTAGAACAATCCACTGATATTGATTGATACAAAAAGTAAAACTTTTGACAAAGAGCATCAATAGCCTTTTTATAGTTCCTTTTTATAGTCATCTCAAGAAGTTACATTATTACATTTATATTCATTTAATATTTATCATATATCAATTGTCAAATATTCAACTTAATTAATATCAATCTTGAAAATAAAATTATTCAAATGAATTTCATAAGTTAAAATATAATTAAACTCTGGTGTATTTTGATATCAGACGTCATTGTCTTCACTTCTATCTCAATAATTTGATTAATTAGACCACAAATGATCACAAAGTTCCATTCCATTGATTCTAGTGTAAAGATAATTCAGAGTTCAAATATTAACACTTGGGTTTGTTTATACAGATTTAATCATAATTTAGAAACTCGTCAATGGATTCAGTCAAACATAATTGCGGATTAAATGAAAGTATTCAAACCAAAAGAATACTTACAAAATGAGAATGTGTTTTAAAGAACTGTCATTTTGAAAGAATTGAACATTTTCCAAAACTTGCTTTAACAATTTAAAGCATTGCATGAAACAGAAAGAAATTAATTATGGTAATTGAAAAAATCATGCATGCAAAAAGTCATTTTTCTTCACACGTCCAAACTGACCGCCATTTGACTTTATCTTAGAATATATCAATGTGTAATTAACAGTGGCGGGGATACCAGCACGGAGAATATATATATTCCATCTAATTGAACTTCCCAGAGAATTTCCGTTTTGGTCATTGCTGATTACCAAACATGGTTATAATCTTGTCTTATGCATGATTGGCTATGCCAGGCAAGTTTAACAAGTTTAATTTATTGGATTTAGTCGGTTACTCTTGCTGCTGAACCTATGTTCCTATACAAGTGGTTTGACCTGGTCTAATAGGTTGATTATGAGATGAACTCTTAAAAATCTCATCTACTATCTATAATGTAGGCATGAAAAGTAGCAAACTTTTTTTCCAAGAAGGGATGTTGTCTTAAAGTCAACAGTTATGGTATACAAAGTTAATTTCAATATGGGAGAGGGTAAACATGATTTCATTCATAAAAAATGTTGATTTTCAATTGAATGGCGAGTCAATATCTTCAAATGTTGTTATATGGTGGAAGAAGGATTAAAAGAACCTATAACAAAGTGAACTTCATTTTTACACAACTGTTAACATATGGACAACATCCCTAATTTTGTATCTCAACAAAGCCACAGATTGAAAATATTTTTTAATTTACTTTTGGTTCAGATAAAAATGCTAACAGCTTGCTCTCGAAAAGGCCATCAAGATGGAGTGTATAAATTATGTATGCATGTTCAGAATGTTCAATAGGAAATACTTGAAATGTATCACTTGGTATTACTTTCAATTAATCATCTCTTGTAATATCCTGGATAAACAGAAGAAAACAAAAGATATTGATTTTATCCCTCAGAACATATGCTTGTATGGGGATCATAAAAGGTCACTTACCTAAAAATTCTGGAATATGTGATCGTTTTTTATGATTTTACCTATTCATATTACTTTTAAATTTATTATTGCTCAATTCATCTCTGGGTATAAATTTTTAGTAAATTTTTGAAAAAATCCATGCAACTTTCCCCAAGGGCTGAACAAAATTAAACAATAAAATATTGAGTCTCATTATAAATGTAGCACTGGGTGAATACAGGTTATTTGACATGGTATTTTGCAAATAAAGTCACTTCATTCCATCTAATGGTCCTCTATTGATACAGCAAAGTAATTGTGGAAAATCATTATTTACTCAGTTATTCTGTTTTAATGTGGGCTATTAATGTAATGTCATCATAATCTTCAGCTTACAGGTGACTTTGACAAAGTTTCACTTCAGGTAGGTTTCAAAAAAGTCAAAAAGTTAATTTATTTTCATGGATATGTCTTGATGTTTAAGATAATATTGGAAATAATTCTGAAAAGTTTAACATTCATTTATTCAATTTTGTTGAACTTGGATATCTTAAAAAACGTCTATAATTGTTCATTAATCTAAAATCATTGGGGTATTAAAGCAATCATGAGGAACAATTTGCTATTATGTTTTATGAAGAAATTGCTTCTAACAGTTTATAACAATAATCTTGACACTTAAGCCTTCAGTCACATTTCCTCTATGGAGTAGGGCGGCTATAGGTTCACAAAATTGATATAGAAAATCTACATCGTACTGCTCATCCCTATATTTCATACTGCATATTTCTCTTGATTTTGGGAAGCTACGGCCACCGCATGGTTGCTGTAGTTCAAATGTGACTGAGTCATATAGTTTCAAACTTTAAATGTGGCCATGATCTGTGAAAATATTGGTTCTACACTTCCAAAATAAATCCTAATGAGCTGTCTCACGTCTGAATTTGGCAGATAATTTATGAATCTTACGGAATCTAAATACATGTATCTCTTAAAATTATACTTTTAACACCAAAAATTTATGAAATTGTTCAGTTCTATATACATACACTAACGTAGACTGCAGGATGAATTCATTATAATGGAAGATTCTGAAACCAGAACAACGGCAACGCCAAAGCGTAGCGAATCCCATCGAACAGCCATGGATGGCATTTTTACAAACAAAGTATATAGCAAAAATGGCAGCCATTTTTCAAAATGGCCGCCTTCTACCAAAAGTGTCATTAGACCATGTGCCATGCTTATAGTATTCACATACCAAATATGAACAAAATCGCTCCACTACTTTTCAAGTTATAGTAAAATACGTTAAAATGGCGGCCATTTTTCAAATTGGCCATCTTCTACCAAAAGTGCCATTAGACAGTGTGCCATGCTTATAGTATTTACATACCAAATATAAACAAAATCGCTCCACTACTTTTCGAGTTATAGTAAAATACGTTAAAATGGCGGCCATTTTTCAAAGTTTTTTCAAAATGGCCGCCTTCTACCAAAAGTGCCATTAGACAGTGTGCCGTGCTTATAGTATTTACATACCAAATATAAACAAAATCTCTCCACTACTTTTCGAGTTATAGTAAAATATGTTAAAATGGCGGCCATAGGACAGTGTGTCATGCTTATAGTATTCACATACCAAATATGAACAAAATCGCTCTACTACTTTTCGATTTATAGTAAAATATGTTAAAATGGCGGCCATTTTGAAAAATGGCCGCCTTCTACCAAAAGTGACATTAGACAGTGTGCCATGCTTATAGTATTCACATACCAAACATGAACAAAATCGCTCCACTACTTTTCGAGTTATAGTAAAATATGTTAAAATGGCGGCCATTTTTCAAAATGGCGGCCATTTTTCAAAATGGGCGCCTGCTACCAAAAGTGTCTTTAGACAGTGTGCAATGTTTATAGTATTCACATACCAAATATGAACAAAATCGCTCCACTACTTCTGAGTTACAGCAAAAATCTAAAAATAACGAGTAAAGGCCGCCATTTTTCAAGATAGCTGCCATGTGCTTCTTTTATATCTACATTTCTAGCTTTATTAATGTCCTATATGATGTTTTTACATCTAAAACATATTGATATTACAGTTTTACATATTGCACTTAAATTACTGTAAATTCGGCACTAAAATGCCCGCCATTTTGAAATGAGCGGCCATATTGAAAATCGGCTTTCAAGCAGAACTTCTACCCCCATAGGGTATATGTGAACAAAATATGAACAAAATCGGCCCAACGGTGTTTGAGTTATTGCCCGGACGGACGGACGGAGGCGTTCCCTATATCCCCTAATTACCTGTAGTTTGGCCAATGGAATGATGTCACAGTTCTGGGGACGATGCCACACGGTTTTCTGACTAGTTGCATTGTAGTAGTAAAACCTTGACGTGTTCTGATCAAATAGTTCCCACCACTGGTTGTCATCTGTCTTCTTGCTGTAACATACAAATAAGAAAATAATAACAGATGAGAATGCAATTAAAAACCTCAAGTAATATGTACTAATATGCGAACATAATGGTATGCAAATTCTTCGTTTTATTGATATCACTCAAAATCAAATGATATTACATCAGACTGTAGATATACAGGAGACCAGTAGTATCATCTTGAAAATCAAATTAGTTCAATTGAGTATGCAGTAGTAAAAAGTGTGTTTGAAGAGTCTCTCTTTGCTGCCATCTATCAATGACAATGAATGATAAATTCATATAAGACTGAAAAACAGAACATAGTGAGAGGATTCCAATTCCAACTATCTTTAAAACATGAATTACTTCAACTCTAACCTCAATAGAATTATCTGCATAAATGTTATTAAATAAGATATAAATCATATCTACTATCTATATCCATTAACCATGACTCATATCCGAGTGTAGCTTTTAATAAATCTGTAATCAAGACTGGTAGAAAGATAAGATTCATCTCACTCAGACAATACCAATGTATTCAGGAGACAAAGCTTTACTACATAATATACATTCTTCTAAAAAATAAAAAAAATCTTGGATAAATGAATCCTCAATTTTCATATATTTTGAATCACAGAAGTTACTCATCTTAAAGTAAACATGTATACTATATTTCATAAAACTGGATCATATTTAAGGAATAAAGACCGAAATTTTATGATTTATGGCGTAATATATGACCGAACATTTTATTCTGTTCATTGTTAAAAGACCGAAATCGCGTAGCAATTGAGGTCTTTGGCAATGGCCAGAATAAGATTTGAGGTCATATATTTGACATAAATCATAAAATCGAGGTCTTTGTTACGATTCTAATATGATAAACAGACAAGAAACACAACTATTTGCATTTAAGAATTTTAGCGGTCATACATACTCCAATATATACCAATAAATCAGTTGTTCTAGCTAGTGTGACGTCACGTATCATATTAGAATATAAAATAGATGGACATTGCTCAAAAGTACCTATACGTTTTCTGTAGGGTTTCACCATCCTATGAGATGAATTTAGGTAAAGTCTGTACATTTTAGAATGAAAATGACATTTGTTGATACTAGCACCAGGGGAATATATTGTAGACTTGGTTCTATAGAGATAAGACCATACACTGTTTCTATAATGATGTAATAAGTGAGATATATCTCAGCTGATATACTCTTCATTCAGTAGAGACCTAATCCCACTGGACACATTAGTAAGATGAATCAAGTAAACATGATATACTAGATATACTGTATGTATTACTAAATAGTATGGTAACATGGCAAGGGTAGGGTTAAAGTTAACAAAGGAGGGCAGAGGCATTACATTTTTTTACAAAACCCACCTTAGAAAGTATGAGGCCCTTTTTGAAATTGGACCAACAATATGTGACTGGTAGCAGTATAACCCTAGATACAGGGGGATTATTGATACAAAGCTGAATGCTGAAGAAATGGCGCTGTGCATAAAAAATATGGAAAATATATGGTTTTAACACATTTTGTTTAGAAACTGGTAAGCATGTATGGTTGGGAATGATTTGGGAAAGAAATATTTGGGCATTGTGAGGGTGGTTGATATAAAATTGGTATTCCTTTTTATCTGTATTTCATGGGCTGACATCTATGATATACCACAGTACCCTGCGTGCAGAGTCTAGTTAAACTACACTCTGCCTAGTAGAGACCATATTTCAGTTTAGTAGCCCCACCCCCACGACAGGTGCCGGTGACAATTCAGGTAATAAATCACTTTTGACCTACGTGCTGACCTTTCTTCCACCAATCAGCGAGCTTGAAGAAACATACGCCAAATGCATTCTAATTAAATATGCGCATGTCATTGGTCAATTCCGGGCTCAACGATGACGTCAGAAGGAATGACCATATATAGAACGTCGGTCAAATTTGGCCGACGAACACTGATTGGCGCGGTGAGTTCACAGGTTTATTTTAGTTTGAAAGAGTGAAGACGAAGCTCTATTTTAAGAAGTGAAGTCAAACGAATGCAAAGGGTAATACCACAGCAATTCTATCAGATTATCCAGCCTTGTAAGAAAAGATGTAATGTATGTATCACAAAGAAGCAAAGCCAAAGTCTACCATTCTGACACTCAATCGTGTATTTCGTTTCAATGTAAACAAAATGAGATGTTCTGGTTTATCATGAAATGTCATGGTCTACTCCAGGTTATGTCTACCTTACATGTTACTCTATGTGTTCAGAAAGAGCTATCTTGAGATTCAACATTGTATGATACACACATATAATGAAAAAAGTCATTTCAGAAAAGGGATAAAATGCAATGTATGTCCACTCAGATAATGGCCCACTGGGACTAATTCAAAGCTAATATATTGCTAAGGATATAATCAATACAACAAAAAATCCTTGCTTCCTGACTAAAATAAAAAACATTCCCAGACTTTGTCATCAGAAATCAACATGAATGTCTTATCACCAAATGGCATAAAATATGAGAAAACAACTGAAATCGTACATAATTCTGAGAGAAAATCAGAGGAATTATGAGGAATCTAAGAAAAATTTTGGCTTGGTATTACCCTCAATAAAATTCCTTGAATTCCAAAGTAATCAGTAAATGGGACTCTGAATCATTATTGATTGCTTGTTTGGCCATTGATTGTTTGTTTGTTTGTTTATGGCTCACTTGATTGAGGATGATCGGCCAATCAATTAGTTGAATTTATTGAAGCACTTTATAATGATTGGTAATTGCCTACTTGTGGCCCTTGCAATATAAAACACTGTGCAATATAAGATACTGTGTAATATAAAACACTGTGCAATATAAAACACTGTGCAGTATAAGATACTGTGTAATATAAAACACTGTGCAATATAAAACACTGTGCAATATAAAACACTGTACAATGTAAGATACTGTGCAATATAAGATACTTTGTAATATAAAACACTGTGCAATATAAGATACTTTGTAATATAAAACACTGTGCAATATAAGATACTTTGTAATATAAAACACTGTGTAATATAAAACACTGTGCAATATAAAACACTGTGCAATGTAAGATACTGTGTGTGTAGGGGTGAGACGAGTCGAAAAAATCCGATTCGAGTCGAATCCGATTCGAGTCAGAAAATGACGATTCGAGTTTCGAATCCGTTTCGAGTCAGATAAAGTGCGAACAACATCGCTTTTGACCGTTCGTATTTTTAATGCGTCAATGGTGGAAAGCCGGAAATATAAACAAACACAATTCGTCGTAAGTTTATTCTGATTTTATTACATATATTCTTTCATTTATGTGTACATACAATATAATAATTTAATACAAGCATATCCAAGTCATTGAAACTTATATATTCAACGCAATATCGAGTAAAAACATGGATATTGACAGTATTTTTCTGAATTTTTTTATTTTTTCGAATTTTTTTCTCAACTCGAAAATGATTCGATTCATCAACTTCGACTCGATTCGAATCGACTCGAAGCCCCAAACCCGCGAGTCCTCGACTCATCGGGTTGTCGTCTCACCCCTAATTATAACATACCTATGATGATGCATAGTGCAAAGTGTATACAAGACATCTGGCCAATATAAGTTGTGAAAAGCCCGCGCCCGCTAACTTTCTGATTGGTCAAGGCGCTGACATCATAACCAATCAATCGAAGATAAAACTACGCGAGCAATTTTTCTAAACTCATTTCAATCATTTTCAAACCATTTGTTTGTCAATTCTATTAGAAAACGGTACTCTCTGACCAGTCTACATCATCATAGGTATGTTATAAATCGTTTATGTCACCATCGTGGCACATATGCCCTCGGTTCTCAGAGATCAATGTCCCTCCCAAGGTCGGGCCATATATCACTGAGACCTCGGGCATATATGCCACGATAGTGACATAACCTCTAAATATAAAACACTATATAGATGGGAAAAGGTATAACCAACCTATTTTCATTTATGGTATTTGTAATTTGTATAAAATCTCTAGTCTAAACTACAGAATATGCATAAACAATGTACAGGTGTATGTACCATTGTGATATTTACAAATTCTACCTTCTTTAGCGCCACCTATAACTTTCTGTAGAGGAAAGATGAAGGGGGTGGGGGTCACAATGACTTTAAGCAAGACAAGTACTTCCACATCTTGAGAGATCACAGCCTTCTATCAGTACATTTCTACAGTATACTCTAAGCAAGGCAAAGATGGTCAGAGTATCAGAATGTCACTGCATAGTCAAGATAGCTACTAAGTAGAGTATCTGATAGACCAGAATACATCTAGAATTTAGCTTGCTTTAATAATTTCATAACCAAGTGATATGACATCCTTTGAGAAATATGCTATTGCTGGGGATAAATTACTCAATTATGCCTAAAGTTCATATTGGTTGTGATAAATCATTCATCTGACTTTACACATCCGTTTCCATAATTCTACAACCATGGATAGATGATATTGACAAGAGTAAGTAAGCTATTCAGTTGACAATAAAGCCCCCCTCCCCTTTTATTGGCCAATGCAGTATTCAAACAAGAATAGTGCTAAAACTGATTAGTGTATCAAATGCTAATGCATCATCTCCTAATGTATCTTGTCCTTATGCATCAAATGCTAATGGACCATCGCCTCATGTATCTTGTGCTTATGATCAAATACTAATGTACCATTGTGCTTATGTATCAAATACTAATGTATCATCTCCTTATGTATCATATACTTAAGTATAGTGCCTTAACATATCATGTCCGAGCAGGCCTGTAGCCAGGATTTGCCTGGGGGGGGGGGGGGGTTCAGTTTTCAAATATTTCCAGGTAGAGTTCACATTTGACAATTTTGGCCCAAATATGACTAAAATTACTTGAGAAGTGCTCATGGTGAAAAACTGCATGATTTTGAAAGAATTTTTGGCTAGGGGGGAGGTTCACCCGAACCCTGCGAACTCTCCCTGGCTACGGGCCTGCCCAGTGTATC